CTTATAACCTGATAACTGATAACATTAAAATAATATCCAACTCGTTTTGTGTGCGGCCGACCTTCCTTAGTGACCACTTAAAATAACCCCTATCATATAACTAATATATAAAGCTAAACTTTTAGCCAGCTCACGAATAAGCGACACTTGGCATTCCAATTTTTCGCTAAGTGTCACGCCACCTTGGATAGATTTTAATAAGCTTCATACATAAAAATCGTCAAGTGTCGCACCACCTTGAATATATTTGGATAGACTTCATAAGATAAAAAGTTAGTTTAAAATAAGATTGTTACTTTACAGTTTTATTTTCGATAAAATACCAAATAATAAACTTATAATTAGGCCACAAGACAACACCATTTAGCGTTTTAATTTTTCACGCACCAAATGTCGTACCACGTTGGATAAATATAGATAGATTTTGTAGCAAAAAAAAGTTAATTTAGAATTCTATTTTCAATTAAATTGAATCGTAATATAATTTTAACTTAAAAGTCTATAAACAACCCGGGCATCGCACGGGGCACAAAACTAGTATAATTGATAAAGCAACCCTTGTAATACCAATCAAGTAACCCTTATAACACCGACCGAGTAACTCTATAACAATAATGAAGTAACCCCTTTAACAACGATCAAGTAACCCCCATTACACTATCAAAGTAACCCCTATAGTGGTTGGCCAGCCACATATAAGACTTTGTGAATAACATTATATAAAAGTTATCACAAATCAAGCTAAAAATTGACAAAAGTAGGTTAATAATATAGGAGTTTTACAGCAAAATAAATTAATTTTTAAAAAAAACAGAACATCATCATGTGGGTTCCCTGGCCACAATGGCTCAATGCAACATGTCTTCTACGTAGCATAAAATTTGCTCATATGTTAAGATGAGCCAAACTACACTCAGAAAAAGTGAAAATAAAGAAGTGATTGACATTAAAATAAAACCCTGGGAAAACCAAGTTCATGGAGTACGAAGCCAACCAGAGATATCATGGGAACCACTGATACACCATTAAAAAAAAAAAAAAAAAAATTGCTTAGGAAATAAGAATATATATAGTCCATATTAATTTATTTATTTTTTATAATAAAGGGCAAAAACACTAGGCACTGAATAAATACTCTAGTAAGAAAGATTCAAGCCCAATTCAAAAAATCAAGTATTACCTACCCAGAACCTGTATGGAGGGGCCAAAAATCTTAATTGTTTCATAATCATTAAAGTATTGATGTCTTGAAAACCCAAGAAAATGAAGAATCCCAATATGAACTTTGTACGAAAGAACTAAAGGCAGCTAAGCTCAAACCTACATAACCTGCATCAAATTAAGATCAAAGTCATGGTAAGTGAATTATTGGATGTTCCATGGTGAGTTTTGCTTTCGTATTGTAAACTGACGTATGCTTAACAACATAAGCAAAGAACAAGGCAGTACAAAGCAGCGATTATTGATCAAGGAATTAAAGCAAACACAACATCAACTATCCCTGAAATATCATGTATGATAAAGAATCAAAACTGATAATAATTTACCATACTACTACTACAACACAGAATCAATATAAGATATACATCCCAAGATTGGAGAAGAATATAAAGCCAGCTGATATTTGGACAACCCGTCTACTACCAACACGTGATAGCTTTTCATGTAAAGGTTAATGGTTTGACTAAGTCAAAACATAGTTGATATTATGTAAAGTGTTAAAAAAGATTATAGTGGTGAGAATTAGCATTAGAAGTAGCAATTTAGAGTGGTTGTTTATAAAACCACACCTTTAAGACAGGTCACAAATCCTAAGTGTTGGGATGTTGGATGATACAAGGGGCCGTGTGGCATGTACATAAGACATGTGCATACCGGGTTCCGGGCACTATTTATGACTCCCAAGGCCCTTAAGGCATAATGATTAAGGATGCACTACGTGGTTCCGGGCACTATTTACGACTCCCAAGGCCTTTTGGGAACTCATGGAAGTACTTGGATGCATAATCTCGCCGGGTGAAAAAATGATTTACAGAAGCCAAATATGAAGGCTATAATACACGAAATCGGAGCGATTTAAGAGGTGTCAGGACATGGTGTCACAATTTCACAAAACATTACGGGATGCATCCCGGGGTCATACAATATTGTTTGACCCATATATGACCATTACTCGGCTACGTACAGGCCCCGTGAAAACTTATAGCCAATACAAGATGTGTGTACGAAAACAGGTAAATTGACCGTTTTAAGGCAAATTGGATGGTTCCACCCACCCAATCGGACTTCCAGAGGGTATTAAGGACCATGGTAAACATCTCGGCAATTTTTATTTTAGGGCGAAAAAAAGTTTAAAAATTCCAAAATTGAAGGATATTATCTACGTTTTTTGAGAAATTTTTGATGTTACGGGAGGCCTGATGGAAAAAAGTGAAGAGATGCTAGGAAAGACATCTCGGGGTCATATAATGACATTTGGAACCATATATGACCATTATATGTTGTCATAAATGCCCGTGGTGTAGCTTACTTTTATAAAATCATTGCAAATTGTAATCGAGTAAATTGATTGTTTAAAGACATATTGAATGGTTTTACCCACCCAAATGGCCTCACGAAGGGTATTAGGGATCATGGTAAACATCTCGGCAATTATTATTTTCGGGCAAAAAAAAGTCAAAAAATTCCAAAATTAAAGGCTATTATCCACGCTTTTTAAGGAATTTTGGAGGTTATGGGGCCAGGTAGCGAAAAAATTCTTGAGACCCTAGGTGATACATCTCAAGGTCATATAATGTCGTTTGGAACCATATATGACCATTATATGTTGACATAATTGTCAGTGGTAGGTTTGAGTTCACGAAATCGGTGCAAGTTGCGAATGGGTAAATTGACCGTTTAAAGGCATACTGGATGGTTACACCCACCCAAATAGATTCCCGGGATGTATTAGGGTGCATGGTAAGCATCTCGATTTCCAGGTCAAAATAAGTGGAAAATTGTCCAAAATTGAAGGCTTATTATATAATTTGCTGTAAGGAAAAAGCTTATTATATAATTTAATATTCCCGCCTTCTTCAATAAAGAAAAAAGCTTATTATTAAATTGTTAAGCTGTACCCATGCTTTTTTTTTCGAATTTATAAGTTGTGCCCTTTACTTCACGATATTTTATCAACAATATCCTTTGACAGCCATATCCATTAACGAAAGTTAAGTGGCGTTAATAATTTGACAAGTGTCATGTTCTAATTGGTATAACACTTTAAAATAATTAAAAAAATTAGAAAATAAAATAATTAAAACTTAATTAAGAATTGATTAGAAAAAAAAACCCAACCATCCTTACTTCCACCCACCACAACCCAGCCCATCAACCCACGTTGTCGCCGCCGGCAACTGCCCACTCTCGCCCAGACAATTCTTACCGCCGGCGAGCCCCCGTTCTTTCCCCGACCCCTCGCCCTCATTCTTTTCTAGCACTCCACGAACACAACCATGTGACGCAACCCATCCCAGAAAACCGACCAGCTCAAAAAATCGACCACCAACCACCACGAAACAACCAACAATAATCCCTTTCCTCCACTTTGAAACGACCCTCACTTGTCGTTTAGGGTTGTGGGAAATGTAGTAGGGGGTTGTTTCGTGGTGGTTTAACTAACGGAGGAATGAGGGTGGTCGGTTGGTTAGGCTGGGGTTTCAAGAAAGGATGTGGATGCGGAGGGGGTTAGGGGAAAGGGAAGGGTTAGGGGTGGATGAGATGGTTAAGGTGGAGTATTGGTTGGTTTTCCGGCGAGTTTTGGGGAGGGGTTAGGGTTTGGTTGTGGAGGGAATTTTGGTTTATTTTTTTTAAATGTTTTTTTTAATGTTTTTAATAAGTAACTAGCAACGACATTTAATGAACCTTAACGTCCGTTAATTAATGCTAACGTCAAAGATTATTGCTAATTAAAAAAGTGAGGTTGATTGCACAACTTAAACGTTTGAAAAAGCATGGGCACAGCTTAGAAACCGAAGAAGTTTCGAGCATAGCTTAGAAAAACCCTAAAACCTTTACATTGAATCTTAATCTCCCGTCCCTGCAATTTTAATAAGTATTTTTAAAAAAATCCGTAAGTCAAATTTATATTCAACTCTTGATTTATATCCTCTTATGTGAGAGGGTATAATTTACTAATATTACACCTCATCAGAAGACTTGAAACATTGAATTATATATTATCTAGATTAATTTACTAATTTTACACCTGGTCGGAAGACTCGTAACATTGATGTGTATATTATCGAGATTAATTTACTAATTTTATACCTGGTCGAAAGACTCGCAACAACGTTGTTTATATTATCATGATCATAATTTTTGTGCATAATCTCCTTTATATTTTTCCATCTATGCTAACTATTGAATATTTTTTTCTAATGTTCTTTCTTTTGTTAGCAAGATACAAAATGAATCAATCACATTGGCAAGATAAGATATTTGAATCACATATATTTGAAGGGTTTCTACACACATAGAACATAAAATATTGGAGAATTCAATGCATTTTCCTCTGTATTCTATATTTCTATACAAGACCCCAACTTTGGATTTTGGATCACTGCCTAGTGCCTACGCGTTCAATACATCTATCATTTTAGGGTCTTGCTTAGTTGTACATGATTCATTATTATGTTGTATTCATACTCAAATTAAAATCAAAACAATTTCTAAATGTAATAAGGAAACATAATTTTAAGAAAGAAGATATTCATGCCGGTCAAATCAACAATAATTGGTGAAGAATTATTAAAATTAACCATTCAAATAATTACACATTATTGATACATTAATCTCCAAAATGAGAAACATATTAATTGGATAAGATTTTACCAGCTCAAATCAACAATAATTGGTGAAGAATTATTAAAATTAACTTTCAAAGCTTCTCTTAAGAACCACACATTAGCCTTTAAATACCCCTCAAGTTAGTATGCATTCTTACACCACCAACACAAAATAGCTTATTGCTTTAATCATTCTTCCCATCCTTCATGGCTTCATCATCATCCATGCCAAAGAAGGAATCGAGAGGTCGCCAAAAGATCAAAATGGCTAAGATTAAGAATCCAAGCCACAGACAGGTCACCTTCTCAAAACGCCGTTTAGGCCTCTTTAAGAAGGCTAGTGAACTCTGCACTCTTTGTGGTGTAGAAGCCACAATAATCGTGTTTTCCCCTGGTCAAAAGATGTTCTCTTTTGGTCAACCAGATGTTGACTCTATAGTTGACCGTTACCTTAACCAAAACCAAATATGTCCTAATGGTACCACCACCAATTCTGAGGGTGGTGTCCATCAAGGTCGTCAACTAAGTGGTACTACGCGCAAGCTCAACTCGCAACTATCCAAAATACAAGAACTCCAAGACTCTGAAAAGACTAGGAGTGAGTTGCTTAACAATCTGAAGAAAATTCCTAGCCAAAATTGGTGGGAGCAACCTGTTGATTATCTTGGCTTAAATGAACTCGAAACTCTGAAGGCTGCATTGGAGAATCTTAATATGAATGTAGCTAATCAAGCTCATTCAATGGTGGAAAAAACTTCTTCTACTCCGATCCAACCCTAAGAATGGATAGCAGTGTCGGAGTTAGTTGCTGTTATTGAGGATAAAATTGAAGGGTTTACTGTTCGTGGTCAAGTCAGCAACATTCATAAGCAAAAGTTCTTCTAAATTAAATTAAAATATATAATGTCTTATTATTAGTTTCTTTGTTTTTGTTCTTGTTATTCTAGTACTAAAGTAAGTTCGATTAAGGCGAAGAAAAATATGTAATGAATTATGTCTTATAATGTTTTCAAAGAATAAAATGACCAGTAGATGGTTTTGGTTGCCTTTATATCACTTCTACTTTCCTACTACTACTACTAGTACTACGTACTCGGTATAGTTTTTTTTGCCTAAAAGTATTACTACATCTTTTTTTTTTTTTTTTTTTTTTTGGAAAATACCTTTCAAATAACTCCCACAACTCTAAATAATTAATTTAAAAAAAAAAAATCACTAACTTCCCCTTTTACTATTTTTTTTGTTCCCTAAACCATACATATATCCCATACATTAGCATGAATAGTACATTCTAGTAAGATAATACGTAGTATAAAATATTAAACTTTATCGCTTTTGCGATGATCTTTCATTTTTTTTGTTTACAACCTATCCTTGTATAATAAGGCTGACAATTGGCGAGATGAATCAATTTTAACTTCCTCCGGTGACTTCTCAATCTCGGGGAGTTCACAAATTTGTCCTTTTTTTTTTCGAGGAATCACAAATTTGTACATATAAGTATGTATAGTAACATGGGTGTTTTTTGATTTTTCTTCTTGATTCTTAATGAACATAATGTTATTTCCTAAATTTATAATTGAAATTAAAATTAAAAATAATCATTCGCCAACAAAACCAAAAAAAAAAAAAATCTACATAATTAAAAACTTTAAATCAATTAAAATCTATAATATTATCTGCCAACCTCAGATGCCATCTTGGTTAAAGCGAATGCAATAAATTTTGTGAATTCCACACGAGCGTAAATGTCTCTCATTTGTGGAATTGTGGTTTATGTGGTACAAAAATATTAAAATATACTTGTAATTTTTGTATATATAAAATATTAAATCGGCTTTTTCAAAAATAAAAATAAAAAAATAAATAAAATCTGTAATATTTAAAGATAAAATAGTATATATATAGTAATTAAATCTGTAATATTAAAAGATAAAATCGTATTTTAAAATAATTTTAGACGCTAAAATTCACAATAATATAATTTTTATTAAATCATTGTAATTTAGTTTTCAATTGGCTAACTTACGTATGAAATTATATCTTATGTAGCACCTATATATTAAAAAAAAATAAAAAAATCCCAATATACGTGCTCCATAGTCCATATAATATAGTCTACTGTACATATTAAATCAGAAACATAAAACATTAAAACATAAAACCCTAGTCTATTTCTCCAATTCAATATCATTTAGCTTCTCCCTATGAGGGGTAGTCGAAATCATCAGAAAAGTCAAAAACCGTTGCAAGAACACAAGTTCTTGCCACCAGATTTATGGAGGGAGATATTGCTTAGATCGTCCGTAAATGACCTATTACGATTCAGGTGTGTTTGTAAAACCTGGTGTTCTTTTATTGATTCTACTGATTTTATTTCCACACACCTCAAAATTTACAAGAACAATAGCACAAATGCTTATATATTATTTGCGGAGCATGTAACCAATACACTATACGATGTCAATATCACAGTTCGTCATAGTGATAAAATTAGAAAAGCTGCTCAATTAGTCGCATCAAACTCTTTTATAGATATTGATATGGTTAATGGGTTGTTGCTGACTTCGCACTTTAATTCGCAGTGGTCCAAAATAGTAGAGTTGAATTTGTGTAACCCTTGTATTAGAAAATCAGTGTTGCTTCCTCATTGCCCTCTTATTCCTAAATCAAACAATGTTGAAAGACGACGATTTTATTTAGGGTTTGATCCTTGTGGTAATGATTATAAGGTTGTTTGTTTTCAGCTTGGTGATCGTATAGATCCCGAGCTATCAATTGCAATTGCAATCTATTCACTATGTGATCATCATTGGAGGGTTAAGCCTAGTTGGATAAATGTTCCCAGGTGGTGTTTTAAATTAATTGATCATAATGAGGCTATTTTTTATCAAAGAGCTTGGTATTGGAAACCACATCCTAGGTTTCAAGGAGAAGAAACCCTTCTTTTTTCGTTTGATATTGGATCCGAGGAATTTAGCTATATGAAGATGCCAGATATTGGGAAAGAAATGCTCAGGTTTATTTTCCTCCTCCGGGGATCATTAGCCGTTTTTGGTATTTCTCGTGTAAGAGCTTGTATATGGGTAATGGAAAAGAATAGAGGAAAGGACCCCTGGCGCCTATTCGATTCTAATTTAAATACATACACAAATTTCATACCTTACGAGCTTAAGGTTATGTATATTGAAAATACCAGCTTATTGTTGGTACATACTTTTAACAAGTTGATTTTTTATAACATTATGAGTCATCGAGTAGAACAAAGAAAAACTTTCCGTAGTTATAATGTTGGTACTTATGTGGAGAGTTTGGTGCTGCACAAAGGGTATAAAGGTGCAACTTTAGCCTCACTCACAAATCAAAATCAGTACATTTGGGATATTAAAAGGCGACATGTTAGAGCATAGCACGTCAATCTAGGGGTTGTTTGCTATCCATACTTATTTTCTCTTCTTTCTGTTTCTGTGAAAAAAAAATTGAATTGCTAATTAAATTAGTGTTTTGATATTTATCAATCCATATTTTGTAGCACTAACTATTTTAATTACTATGGATTTGTTTTTCTTTAATAGTAAAAACTGCTTACTACTTGATTTGAGAATCTGAGATGTCGTGTGAGGTTTCTACATACATGCATGTATACAAAGTAGGTGTAAGATTGGTCCAAAAAAAAAAAAAAGAAGTAGGTGTAAGATTTTCAAAAGGAGAAGAAATGGATTAAGCTATAAGAGTGACGATTGTATACAAAACCTTAAAAAAATTAAGGGTTTTTTTAAGTTATGCCCCTAAACTTCTTCGAATTCTAAACTGTACTCATGCTTTTTCAAACGTCTAAACTGTACCCTCAACCTCACTAATTTTTATTAACAATAACCTTTTTTATTATTTTATTTTCTGATTTTAATTTTTTTTAAAGCGTTAAATCAATTAGAACATGACACGTGTCAAATTAATAATGTCACGACACCATTGTTGATAAAATAACTTAACTTTCGTTAACAGATACGACTGTAATGTTGATAAAATATCGTAAGGTGGAGGGTACAACTTATAACTTTGAAAAAGCATGTGTACAATTTGGAAACCGAAAAACTGGGCATAGTTTAGAAAAACCCAAAAATTAAATATCGGCAAACAAACAATGTTTTATCCGAAGATTGTACTCCCTCCAAAGATAAAAAGTGAAGAATGTTGTATGGGGATAATAAAAAGTAGAGAATATTGTATACTACGTAGAAAAGTTAAAAAGTAAGTAATGATTGTTTGGGTATGTGTGTACTTTGTATTAAAAAAAAAGAAAAAGTAAGTAATGATATTTTAGGTATGTACTCCCTCCGTCCCAAAAAGAACGACCTATTTGGCCAAAACTTGTCCCAAAAAGAATGACCCATTTGCATTAAAACACCACCAATTTGCAACAATATTTGTGCAAAATTACCTTCCTCGTATAAAAATTTGATTTTCCATGTTATTTTATTACTTTCCCTCTCTATTTTTTTACAAACCCCATGTAAATTTATCTTTCTAATATACTTTTACTTCTTTTTACTTAACTTCCTTAATACCCGCGTAATCAACCCAAATGAGTCGTTCTTTTTGGGACGGAGGGAGTATGTAATTGTATGAAAAAGCTAAAAAGTAAGTAATGATTGGGTGTTATATTTAGTAAAAGAAGGAACATTTTGGGACACCTAAAATAGTATATTTGCATATAATTATGGGATAGAGGGAGTAATATTTTTGCAAACAAAGTAACAAACAAAACCTAGACTTATTTTATTTAGTGTTTAGAGAGCCTGACGGAAGTTTAAATCAATCTCAAATCTAGAAGTAAGGTCGAACACTTCCTGGTGAGTTGTGAGTTGTGTGTTTGTGACATGAATACATGATAGTAGACTAGTGTTACATTACTTCATTGATTTACTCATTAATCATTTACTCCATCGGAAAGAGGAAGATCAGCGCTTCAAAAATCACAATTATAAGTGTGTTTGATCACCAAAACCCTACAGTAATTCGGAGTAATCTGCTAGAATCGAGAACTCAAATAAGGAGAAAATCGCTGCCAAATTGCCGGAAAACAACTATTTCCGCCGGAATTATGGCCGGAGATCTTCGCAATTTCGCCGGTGAAAACCTTGCTCTGATTCAGGTACATTTGTCAAAATTGGTGCTTTTTAGTTAATTTTTTACAACAATTTTCGCAAAATTCAGTTACTATTTACTAGCCGTAGATAAAGTAAGTATGATTTTAAGATTTTGATGACTAATTTAGAAGAAGAAATGAGGTTTCTTCCTGCTTCCTTTAACATTTCGTTTGGCAGCCGGTAATAAATTGTGGTGATGATTTTTCACTTAATTTTTTACTAGAATTGTGGTAATGAGAATGAATTAAAGTGTAATTTGTCAAAATTTGATCTCATTTAACTTAAATTCATGTCATGCTGCATCTGTTTTTACTGTAAATTATACAAAATCAGAATGTGTTATGTATTCTGAAGAGAAATTGCTCTTTAGCCTTGTTTTTTGGGTGTGGAATATGATAAATTGCTAACATTGTGTGCTTGTAAATTGTAATTGGTGCTTAATGATACAATGACAGAATTAAAGGCAATTCTCATTGTTTTCATCTTCAAATGATACAATGACAGTAAAAACTTGTATTATTTGGCATTGGCAGACTGGCAGTGATGCATATTAATGGAAGGCGAAGTTAGTTCCTGACGGAGTAGCATTTCCTCTTGTTTATCCAGAGACAACAAGGTTTTTATTCTTCAGGTGAGTTATACAGTTGGTGCTTAAGAACATATTTTGGTGAATTGACTGCTACACCATTTTACAGATATATCTATATCTTACTGTCATTAGTTGTTTGGTAATACTTCATTAATTGCTGCATCAGCAAAAGAAATCAATATGCGACATAACATTACAACTGGATTATTTAAGACCGTATTAGATTATTACTTTTTCCATCCTTGCCTTCAAATCCGGTGTAAGATTATTTGAGCTCCATGTTGAGCCTGCAGATACATAACATTCATGGGTGCGAATTTTTTCCATTTTAGCTTCAGTCATAGCAAAATTTTCTTCTATACATATTCTTGGTCTCCAGCCCTAAGAGGGGGGAAAAAAAAAGAGCTTTTACCTTTGGCTGCTTTGGAATTCCCCTCAGGCTTCAAAGAACTTGTCTGGATCGCCATCCCAAAATTCCTTATCTTGGTGAATAAAGATTATTGGGTAAGTGATTATTGTGCCCATAGGAAGTGATAATGCAACTAGACTTGTGGTCAATCCTTCAAAATCAATGTCTAAACTAATAGTGCTGATGTAGCTATAGAATAGTTTACACTCCTCGATTACCTCTTGAAGATTCATCCCAGCATGCTGATACTTGTTATTGCCTGCAACTTGCTGAATTTCTTTTAAATTGCATATATGAGTGTACCCAACAGATCACCCTTTATTGCTTCTCCACCCTCCATTTCCTCCTTTCTCTTGTTGATGATTGCATATAGTGACATGTGAACATGATCTTCTATGTTCTTAAATCTTCTATTTCTTGATGTTGTAATTTCGGAATGTATCTGAAAACACATGGCAGCATCATACATTACTTGGCTTAATAAGCAGATGAGTGAGAAACTCTATGTTTTCCCTTTTGATTTTGATCTAAATGTAAATCGGATAATACTGGTAAGTGGGTATTCAAGGAAGTAAGACAAAAGGAGAAGCTGTTTCGAGGCCTACCCCCCAATCTAGAGTGACTAGGCCTTTTCTTCCAAAGATGGGAAGGAGAGGATTTTAAGCAACAACAACCAAATTGATTGTCCTCATGCAGAGAAGTCGAGAACTCCAAAAACAATGGTCTGTTTCATCCTCTCTTTTTATTTCTAGGTTTCTAGTTTATCGTAATCAGTTTGTCAACATGTTGGCTAAATCATGGCCTTTCAACATGTCATTGAAGAGTGTTTCTATTTAAGAATAGATTTGTTTCTTGGGATCAGCTCAAATTGAAAAGCGGGAAAAATAATATTATAATCCACGTCTTCTTGAAACCCCAATAAAAGGACAAATTTTAGTATTTTACTAAATAAATATATGTAATAACAGACTGAATTTCTTTGGTCGAATTCAGGAAGACTTTATATGCTATAGTATGTACTACCTTAGTCCTGGCATATACACTGAGTGCAAAAGAAGAAGGGATGTATCAGTCTGCTCCTTGAGAAGTTCAAATATCTTTTGCCCCTCCTCATAGCTGCTACCAAATGCTGCTCTAGATATCACATAAGCAGTGAGTTTTATTAGATCATGCCACACATCTAGCTCCCTTGAACCCGTTTCAGCAATGATAACCTCCCATTTATTGATTATCTCTGCACAACTATCTCGTAATGCTGGCAACATAAGCTGTAACAAACCCCAAATGCAATTTTTTTTTTAAGGAGCTCAAATGGCCTTCTATCAGATGTGTTTATTACAGTGATGAAATCATTGGCTGTTTCTTTATTCAATTGTGGATGAAATTTAAATGAAGAATTGTCGAGATTGACCTTTATCTTCTCCATATGGAAGGTAGGTTGATGATCCTCCTATGTCTGGCCCATTTTTCTCCTTCTTAGCTGGCAAGCCCTGGGATAAGCTTATCAATAATGGGGCTAAACTTTTCCTTTTGAAATTCATTCGTTTTTTCATAGCCTCCTTGATTAACTCTGGCTTTGAGATGCAATAATTGGTATAGATCCAGCCCAAGCGAAGTAGTCCTCTCCTGCATGAATGCTCATCAATGATACTAATTCTCCCTTTACTCGAAATCACAGTATCTAGAAGGATAGGGACAATGGTGAACCCATGTTTATACAAGTGTATTAATTTCATGAATTTGAATATATTTTAGATTCCATACCAAATTTGGTGACAAGCCGATGAGCAAATAGGATCAACACATGGAAAATCATCATTGGTGAAGCTGGTCATGGGGTTCTCCAAGGCTTGAGTGTGCAATGATGAGTAATCTTTCATGTCTCCAAACAAGAGCTTGTATTAAGTACCAGAGAGACCTTGCTGTCTGAACCATATTTCCAGCTTCTTTGGCCTCGACCATATCTAGTTTAGTACTTTGAAAAAACCTGTCACAACAAGTATACTGAAAATTGATAGCAAAATAGAGGTTGTTGTCAATGTTTCCCTTTCTGATTCTTTGTTTTTGTTCAATTAAACTCTTAAGTCTCATGATATGAACATCTTATCCTTTTTATTGGGAGTATTTACAGAGAACGCATGTAATGACATCAGATGACTAACTTTCTAATTCTGGTTTGGAAGTCAACTTTTAATTTTAATATTTTACCTCTGCTTTTCTTGGGAATGAAGTTAAGATTCTGATTTTATCAATGATACAAAGTATTTGTACTGTGTTTTTGTGTAGTTGCCTGAATAAATATGGGCTTGATAAGTCATCTTTATGAAATGGACAAGTTGTGGTTGACTGAGCTTGTCAGATAGAATTGTGGTAGATCTGGCTCATATATATTCAATTGATCTGGTATAAATGAATTAGTAGAAAGAGGGAACAATCAAATTGTAATAGGCTTAATGCCATAACTGTGTCTCTTTGTACTCCTTTTATCTCCCAGTAGAAAACTTTAAAAAATAAAAATAAATAAATAAATTGGATTTTAGATTGTAATCATTGAAACTCATTTATGTTTGTTTGTTTACCTTTACGGAGATGAATTCACAATGCATCTGATTATTTCATGAACTATGGAGATGAATTCACAATGCATCTGATTATTTCATGAACTATGGAGATGAATTCACAATGCATCTGATTATTTCATGAACTATGGAGATGAATTCACAATGCATCTAATTATTTCATGAACTATGGCTTTATAAAGTCTTCTTTTTTAGTATTTTCTCCATAAAGAAGATTGTTTTAACTTAACTAGTTGTCCATTTACATGTATCCATTTACATGTATAAGTTATCATTCACAACATTAAATTTATGTATATCATTCTGGTTCGATAAAGGTTTAAATTACAAACAATGGATCAATTATGTAATTATGTGGACCTTTATGCACAAAGTTTGGTGGTGCAGAAAATGTAAAGGCTAACTTTTGATTTGCTTTCAACCCCTTTTCAGAAAACTTGATAATTTGAAAGGGCTGATTCTTGAAGATGCATGTTCAAATCATGTCTTTATTCAAGTTGGTTTGCTGCCTGAAAGTTCCTTACATATTCACCCAATGTTTTAATGTATTGGTTGCTCTCTTCTTTTTCTTGCTACTTAATAATTAACATGCATTTTTCATGAATGTCCTGCATTGGTTCTTGTGCTGTTTAATTCCAATGTTGTTCAATTCAGAGTAATTCAGTAGATAGGGGTAAATCAAACCTTAGATTATATATTTCGCTTTGTAGCACATTTTGGATTAGATTTGCCTCTGCCTCTATGCATTCTTTAGGAATTTGTCATTATACAAGCTTGATCTTCTGAATATATTCATCTGTTGCGGTCTTTGATTCTGGTTATAATTGTTTATTCTTTTCCGACTATGTGAAGAACAGCTGTGCCCAAGCCTTGTTATGTTCTTTAGCTCTATGTCTTAGATATAGTCAATTTGCATTACCTTACCTCTCTGGCATAGAAAATTAACATATATTGTTTGGTGTTTACAGTGATGCTTTTGAGCTGAAGTAAGGTTGGTAGCCAGTGGAAGAACATCTTCTTCTGGTTATCTTTGCCCACAGGGCTATTCCCTGAGGCATTGCTGGTACGTGCATGTGCAATTTATATTCTAGTTGCTGAATTATTTACTACTTCGTATGAAGATTGTTATATTACATGCAACCTGTCGAAACTGGACAGCCTTCTATCCCTTTAAAGTTCAATTTTATGGCAAAATACACAAGAGATTGGAATGTAATAGGTGTAGTAGTTATGTCAATGTGGAAAAAACTGCAGATTCCAACTTATCTGTGTTGTGTGCTGAGATTCATTGCTCAGGAAAGATGCCTGGTAGGGGAAGTAAAACTTATTGATGCAGAATTGCCAATAACTGAAGTGAATCTTTGGTTATCTTATCAAAGTAATAAATACGGTAAAAATTTAGAAATCATAGCATTACTGACAACTGCATTTCTACATATTAATGGATAATAAGAAAAGCTCAAAGCCTCAAATGAATTTTTAAAATTTCAAATGCTTGGACTGATAAGGAGGTGAAATTTCATAAGGATAACAACAATAGGAGAAATTAATATGAATTCTCTGCTTGTATACCATTAAAGCTGGTGTAAGATTATCTGAGCACCATGTTGAGGCTGTAGAAAAATAACAGTCTTGGGTGCATGAACATAGGATGGTGAAAGCTCAAAGTAAAAGCGTTGTAGAATCATGGATAATGCCATTTTTGCTTCTGTTATTGCAAATTTTTCCCCTATACATATTCTTGGTCCCCAACCAAAGGGAAAAAATGAATTGTTCCCATTTGTTGCCTTGGAAATCCCTTCAGCAAATCTGTTTGGCTTGAATTCTTGTGCATCATTTCCCCAATATTCCTGATCTCGATGAACAGTATGCACAAAGAAAGTTATCATTGCGCCTGAAGGAACTGATAATACACCCAGATTTGTATCCTTAGGAATCCATCTGGTAATCTGCATTACTGGTGGATAGAGTCTTAGCACCTCATACAGTATCATGGTCATCTAAGTAAAAAAAAATCAGAAAACATATCATTAAAATATTAACAGAGTATAAATTCATACATTATGGGATAAAATAACTAATAACTTACTGTCTTTAAATGGTTTAAACCTTCAAAGTCAGGCACATTTTGCCCAAAGGTTTGCAAGACTTCTTCTCGTGCTCGTGTTTGCCATTCTTGATGCTTGCTCAACATTATCAATGTCCAAACTAATAGTGTTGATGTAGTTTCTTGTCCAGCCAAGTAGAGTAGTTTACACTCATCAATTACATCTTCAAGGCTCATCCCAACATGCTGATTCTTGTTACTGCTTGCAGCTTGTTCAATTTCTTTTGAATTGGAATCCATGAGTATACCCAAGAGGTCAGTCTTAACAGCCCCTCCACAATCAATTTCCTCTTTCCTCTTGTTGATAATTTTACGCAATGAACTATGTATCTGATCTTCTAGCTTTTTAAACCTCCTATTTCTTGGTGTTGGAATAAATCTGAATGCAAGCAGTAGTTAAAAATTTAGTTTCTTGGCTAAATCAACATCGATTAGCTGATGTTATAAATTAGTACCTCTTCCCTGGGAAATAAACAGATTGTAGCATAAGAAGAGATAAATCAGTCTGCTCTTTAAGGAGTTCAAATATCTTTTGTCCCTCCTCATAGTTGCTACCAAATGCTGCTCTAGAGATCACATCAGCACCAAGCTGCATTATATCAGGGTACACATCTAGCTCACCTGAACCCCTTTCAGCTACTATCATCTCCCATTTGTTGACTATTTCTTCACAACTATCACGGAATGCCGGTAACATAAGCTGTAACAAGAATCAAAAGTTAATAATTTTCCTTAATACATACATAATTATTGGAAGAAGATAAGCTAAAGAATGTAAGGGAATGACCTTTAACTTCTCCACATGGAAAGCAGGGTTGATCAGCTTCCGATGTTTGGTCCATTTCTCTCCCTCATAGCTGACAAGCCCTGGAAAAAGCTTGTCGAAGATGGGGTTTACCTTTGCCTTGCGTATTTCCTGCGTTTTGGTCAGCGCCTCTCGAATTGATTGTGGCTTTGAGAGTTGTAACATAGGTATTGGGCCAAACCAGAGGAAGAAATCATTTCCTGTATTGAGTCCAATTATAAAATCCTAAGTTTCACATTAATGTTTACAGTCTTCACTAATTTTTACCTTGATATCTTAATACACAATAATTTACTGAAAACAACTAATCCAACCAAAATAAAAAAGTGGCTTGATCACATACCAAATTTGGAGGCAAGCTGATGGCGAAAAGGTTCCACACGCGGAAAGTATTCGTCAGAGAACCTATCCATGGGAGTTTTTAAGGCCTCTTCACGCATTGTGACAAAAGTTTTGATATCTCCAAACAAAAATTTGTAAGAAGTGCCAGAGAAACCTTTCTGTCTAAGCAGTCTCTCTAGCTTCTTGGGCCTTAACCACACCCAATTCACCACTTTAATCAACACTGTCACGACAGTAATGCATACTACTGCTGTCAAAACAGAGCTTGTTGTCAGTGTTTCCATTTTTTTTGTTCTTTGTTAGTTGCTTTCTTAAATTTCAAGATTGGAGCTATCAGCCATCTTTATAGGAGAACGATTGGTTTGTTATGAGAGAGTGAAAAACAGAGAAGTTTCTTTGATTTGGAATTTCGGATGTCAAACTCTTTTATTAATATCATAATTTTGTCTTGGCAAACAAGTTAAGTAATGCTTTAATGGAGTAATATTTTATCTTGGTTGACTTTTACCAGTAAAAAACTAAAAACGTTATTTAAATTTTTGTTGAGAGGTTGGGAGGGCAGACAGACGGGGGGACTGCACCGCAAAAAAAAAAAAAAAAAAAAAAAAAAAGTTATTTAAATTAATACAAGTATACCATCTTTTCAGCTTACTATTAAAATAAATAATTGGCGTATTCATACTAATAAAGTATAAGGAAATAGAGGGATGCAATCATGCAAGGAATGATGTCAGATGGGTGGCGCAGTCCCCTTTGCTTTTGGTAAAATCATAAACTACTAAAAAAATAAAAAACTTTCAAAGTAATCTAGAGTGTTTGCTTGATTTGTTGATATGTGTCCAATGATTAACAAGGAATAATTAAGACCCAAATGCGCGGGATGGCTTTGGAGATTCTCTTCATGAAGCTAAGGTCTCCTAAGGTCTTGTTTAGTTTAACTTATTTTTACTTAATTCAAGAAAAAAAATGGTTTAGATTAGATTAAAAAAAAGTTCAGTTTAGATTCATTAGAATAAATAAATTCAAATCAGCTCATTGTTTTATGTGCGGTTTTTTTATCGCTACATATATTTATTTTTGTATTGAAAAAAATTGTGAAAATTACCTATTAATTAAGTTCACATTATTATACAGTTAAAATACTCTATTTACCAACTTAATATCGATAAGTTGATGTTATAGGTTACCTCTTCCCTGGAAAGTAAACTGATTGTTGCATAAGAAGACCTAAATCAGTTTGCTCCTTTTAAAGTTCAAATATCCTTTGTCCTTCCTCATAGCTACTACCAAACGCTGCTCTAGAGATCTCTTGGCGATTACCGTATTTTCGTTGGGAGATTGAAGGGTTATAGAGAAATGTTGTTCAACATTTGAGTATATGTAAAGTGCACACTTGAACCTATCTTTAGGTGGGAGATTATTGGGTTTGAGAAGTGTGGAGAACGGTTGGCAAGGGGGTGCATAGCCTATGGATTACGTGCTTGGTGCAAAGCAACAATGTAAGGCAAGGACTGACTTCAAATGTGCATATCTCAAGATCTAAAATTGATATTGAGATGATTCAAGTTAGAGGTGGTAGCTCGTCTCAAGAGCTTTCCAATGACTAATCATAAGCTTGATTTGGTCAAGAATTGAAGGAGTTACGGCCATTTTACAAAGAGCTGTCTGCTCAATGTAGGAATTCAACTGAACTGATGAAAAGTTCGGTCGAACCAAACGAAGAAAATCAGCCTTGCTCATTGACTCGCAAGTTCGACCAAATCACTCAATGGGCTAACCTTGTTTTTAGCGCTACAATTTCGTTTTATTTCGCTCGGCCGCTCGGGTTTAATCTTAGCGGTTGATCTACCTTTTACTCTTAGATTATGTAAACTTGTGTATGAACATTAGTTAGGTTATGATGTTAGATTAAAGAGTGAGAAAAAGCCTCTTGAGATTAATTCATCTTCTCAGGGTTTAAGGAGAATTAAGCGAGGTGTGAGCTTTCAAAAGAGATTGAGAGCTTGCATCATCATATTACTCCATAGTGGATTGGTGGGTTTTCTCCCGGCACTCGGATTCCCACAGTAAACTTGTTCTTGTTTCTTTGTTTCTTTGTTTTACTTTTACTTGTTTTTGTTCTTCGTAATTGTTAATTGTCGTTAATCGCAAACCAGCTAGTACATTTGTTAATCCTTTCATATCTTTATTCTTTTCTCCAATTTGTAATTGATCCGCAACCTATTGGAATAAGAGATCCTTCCATTGACTGAGTTTGGAGCAAAGATTTTAAGTCAAAATACAAAATTAACTTAAGAAATGAGGTGAAAATCAAAAGTTATGGAGTATGGATGAGCTGTAACTTGTATGTGTGGTGTGGTACAATCTACTAACGTGAATCTTCAATAACTTTCTGTTTTTGTAAAGTGCAGAGTTTGCTAGATGATTGGGCATAACTGACTACAGATATTATAAACTGTAATTAGCAAAGTAAGAGTTCTGATGTAACTTTAAAAAGTCCAAACACAAACCTAGTACAACTGTGTGACTTCTGCAATTGTTGAAAATTAGCAAAAGTTCAAATTAACTTTAAGTCGATGCTTGGACTAATAAGAGGCTGAAATATCTTAAGGATTACCAACAATATGATATAATAATATGAATACACTTTAACTGTATACAACTAAAGCTCGTGTAAGATTATTTGGGCACCATGTTGGGGTTGTAGAAACAGAACAGCCGTGGGTGCATGAACATAGGATGGTGAAAGCTCAAAGGAAAAGCGTTGTAGAATCATGGATAATGCCATTTTTGCTTCTAACATGGCAAATCTTTCCCCTATACATATTCTTGGTCCCCAACCAAAGGGAAAAAAAGAGTTATTTCCTTTTGTTGCCTTGAATATTCCTTCGGCAAACCTGTCAGGCTTGAATTTTTGCGCATCATCACCCCAAATTTCCTGATCTCGGTGGGCAGAGTGCATTGAGATACTGATCAACGTGCCTGAGGGAATTGATAGCTTCCCTAGATTTGTATCCTTATTGATCTGTCTTGTTATTCGATGTGCTGGTGGATAGAGTCTCAAGACTTAATATAGTATCATAGTTACCTAAGTGAAACATATTATATTGTGAATTTTTTATTTTTCTGATATCATTCATTATCATAAGAAAATAACACTACTTACTGTCTTCAAATGGTTTAAACTATCCAATTCTGGAACAGACTTCCCAAATGTCTGCAAAACCTCTTCTTGTGCTCGGGCTTGCCAATCTTGGTGCTTGCTCAGCAATATCAAAGTCCAAACTAGTAGTGATGATGTGGTTTCCTGTCCAGCAAAGTAGAAGAGTTTACACTCGTCAATTACCTCTTGAATACTCATCCCAACATGCCGAAACTTGTTATTGCCAACAGCTTGTTGGATTTCTGTATAATTAGAGTTCAATAGGATATCCAACAAGTCAGACTTCGCCTCTTCACCAACTTCAATGGCCTCCTTCCTCTTATTGATAATTGTACTCAGTGATGCATGCAATTTATCTTCAATGTCCTTAAACCTCCTATTCCTAGCAGTCGGAATGTAGCTGCATGTAAGGAGCAAGATTAAACCCAACTTCTAATAATTAATCTGTAGATATATTGCAGGATTTTATTATTAATTACCTCGCTCCTGGGATATAAACTGATTGTGTCATAAGAAGAGTCAAATCAGCCTGGTCTTTGAGAAGTTCAAAAATCCTTTGTCCTTCCTCATAGTTGCTACCAAATGCTGCTCTAGAGATCACATCAGCACTGAGTTTCATTAGGTCTGGCCACACGTCTACCTCACCTGAGCCTTTTTCAGCTACTACCATTTCCCATTTGTTAATAATCTCTGCACAACTATCATGGAACGCAGGTAACATAAGCTGTAACAAGCATGAAAACCAAATTACTATCTAAAAATTTTGATTGTTCACATATATTTTGTGGTTGCATCGTATGCATTATAAGACTTTTTAATTGCTTCATAGATAAATTTGGTCAGTAGATAATTGAGTTGTCTCGGTTATGAATCAATCCTTCTAGTGTGACACTGTGTCATTCAATTTTCATCTTTAATATTGGGTAAAAAATAAAAAAATATTGTAGGGAGTGACCTTCAACTTGTCCATATGAAAGGCAGGATTGATCAGCCTGCGATGTTTGACTTATTTCTCTCCCTCTAAGCTCACTAGCCTGGAACAAGTTTTTTGAAAATGGGGTTCATTTTCGTCTTTTGAAATTCTTCCATCTTTGTAAAGCCCTCTCTTATCATCTCCGGCTTTGAGATGTTTATCATCGGTACAGGGCCAAACCAGATAAAGGAGTCCCTTCCTGCAGTAACACCAATTCAAAATCAATCTATCGCTTTCTTAGAACATATCAGACGGTCAGACCCTTTTACATGATTAGATCTCAGTGAAAATCTAAACAGTCTCTCATAGATGTGTATTGCATTAAAATTTAATTGAACTACAGTCTATTGTTCATCTCAAACCAATCTCAACTCTCTTTGTCTTAGGTTATGTGATAACTCTACTAATTCCAGATTGAGGGAGTATTTGCAATAATTGTTAGTGTCAGGTGTAGGCACAAATTCAAGTGTGCTCTGTCAAGGCATAAATGGAACATATCTTGGTTTTAAAAGGCGGTTTCACATGAGCTTTAATGTGCAAATAAGTATACACACATTTTTGGCTTAATTGATTGTTAATTCTATCTGAAATGCTAATCTTAAATCCTATTTGAGCAATTTATTCTATGATTATAAGGTTTGAAATTGTTGAAGTGTTTTGGTGAGCATTGAAGTGTAGGTATTCCTTACCCATGTCAGAGTGTTAAGTGTTTGATATGTGCTAATCAATAACAATTTTACTCAACCCATATATTTGAATAAATCAGTTCTCAGTTCTGTTTATTGGTCTGACTTGCCACTGCTGTCATTTTAACTTCTCTGCTGCAAAAATATAGTAGCATATATAGCAGCAAGACAGCAAGTATACCACTTGATCAAAAAATTCTTACATGCCATGAATTTAGATGACATACCAAATCTAGTACGGATATGATGGCGGAAAGGTTCCACACGCGAATAATAATCATCAGATAAGCTGGTCATGGGGGTTTTCAAGGTCTGAGTCCGCATTGAGGCGAGATCTTTGAGGTCTCCAAAGAAGAGTCTGTAAGAATTACCAGAGAAACCCTGCTGTCTGAGCAGTTTTTCTAGCCTTTTGGGCCTCAACCATACCCAATTCACCACTTTGATTAACACTGTCACTACCAATATACAGACTACTGTTATTAAAACAGAGCTTGTTGAAGCCATTTCCATTTTTTTTGTTCTTTGGGTGTTTTAAGTTCTATGCCCAAATTTCCTGTTTATATGAATTTTTTTCCCTTTTGTTATGACCAAGTAAAAACAGAGAATGCGACTAGTCAAGAGATGATGTCAGATCCTTCAGATGGGTGGCTTTACTGGCTTAAACCCATCATCTTTCTTGTTTTTCTTGGTTTGTACTTTGAACAGTTTTTAGTTTTTAAATGGTTAATGAGGAATATTCAAGATCCCAAAAAAAAAAAAAAAAAAAAAAAAATCCATTTTTACCTTCAAATTTTGGCACTTTATTTTTTAAGTAGTGCAGGACTTTGTTTAAATTTGACCAAGGATAAAGGATAGACGTACATAACTCATCCTCCTGCAGGGATTGCTAACAAAGTTTAAATTAGATTTAGTTCATTTTTCTATCTTTTTACTCAACAAAATAGTCTTCGAAACAAGGGACCCTAATGACGGATATTCTTAATTACTTGCACCTGGGTGCACTTAGTATATGCAAGCCTGGCCTTATATTACTTCTCGTAGGGCTTAGCTCTTACAGTGTAGCTGCATATCGGCAGTCTTAATTTTCATACATATAAAAAATTTCGATGGTTGGTTATTTTTTTTTTTTTTTGACAAAATTTGTTTTGTTTTCTCTAATAATCTTCTTGTATTCATGATGTACGACTGACAAAGACTATTCACTTTTGTGTATATTGGTGATTGGCAGAAAAATTATTTGTACAAGTCAATGCGGTGGCTGGTGTAGAATAATCTTCTCTTGGTGTCTTTGTCAAGCAACAAAGGGCATGATATATCTTGAGGTAAATATGTGACCTCTATCTTTCTAATGACATAATACATGATGTTGTGTACTTGTATTATACTCCGTAGTATCTTTTGATTGCTTTCTTTAAAATTAAATAAAAAGAAAGTAAAGACTTTTAAACATTCAGATTATTCGTTTCCTATTAAGATTTTTTATTGCATTATTAACCGGAATGTAAGTTTAATTATGTGTTCGAGGCTTCAAGCATTTGTGGCTTTAGTTGTTATCTGATATCATTTTTTTTTTTTTTTTGTATTATTCTTGTTAGAGTGAATAGGGGCAATGACAGTGATTAGGATGAACAAACAAGAACAATTAAAATATTTGAAAGTAGAGGAGAAGACAATAGTTGGGAGATGGGAAGATCCTCCAAGCATATCACTTTTTTTTTAAAACCTCCAAGCATATCACTTGAAGACTATAAAAGTATAAAACTCACCAAAATCAAAGAGACTATTGTTGTATTGATGATAATTTAATGTTTACAAGAGTACTGGACAAATCCTCTTAATCTCTCTTTGAAGTACTGTAAAGAGAATTGCACTATAGTAGTTTTGTAGTTTTGTTGATACGAAGGAACATGACGATTTCAACTTATCTGTGATTTCTGTACTAAAATATTGGCATAACTGACAACTGTATGACCTCCACATGGTAGTTGAGAATTAGAAATGTTGAAATATAATGAACTCTAATTTCCGAAAATACACATCCAAGACCATGCTTGGTGTCTATTTGTTTGGACGTTGGGATGTTTTAAAACAAGGCACAATATCTATAGAAGCCTAAAACAACACACAAGTTTCAAAGCAATAAGCAACCGGACATAGAGTGTAAATTTCATTAATCATTCACCCTCTAAAGAGCTTTCTTTTGAAATTACATAGAATCTCTAGTGAACACTAGAACGACAGTAAAACAATAGTTGTGTCTAAAGCCAAAAAAACTTAAGAAGTCTAGGAAAGCAGTAGAAAGACATTTAAAACATACTAAGAGAGTTGGATTTTAACACTTGGACTAATAAGTGAAATTACTTGAGGGTTATCAACAGTAATATAAAAGTATCTAAATGCATATCATCATAGCTCGTGTAAAATTATTTGAGCACCATGTTGAGGCTGTAGAAACAGAACAGTTGTGGGTGCATGAACATAGGAAGGGGAAAGCTCAAAGGAAAAGCGTTGTAGAATCATGGATAATGCCATTTTTGCTTCTAACATGGCAAATCTTTCCCCCATACATATTCTTGGTCCCCAACCAAATGGAAAAAAGGAGTTATTTCCTTTTGTTGCCTTGGATATACCTTCAGCAAATCTGTCAGGTTTGAATTCCTGCGCATCATCACCCCAAATTTCATGATCTCGGTGGACGGAATGCATTGAGAAACTGATCAATGTGCCTGAAGGAATTGATAGTTCCCCTAGACTTGTAGACTTATAGATCTGTCTTGTTACTCGTGGTACTGGTGGATAGAGTCTCAGGACTTCATATAGTATCATAGTCACCTAAAATGAACATATTATGTCATTATGTGATGAAAGTTTTAAATATTTTTATCACTCATTATCATTAGAAAATAACTCAACTTACTGTCTTTAAATGGTTCAAACCATCAAATTCTGGCACAGTATCCCCAAATGTCTGCAAGACTTCATCTCGTGCTCGGGCTTGCCAATCTTGGTGCTTGCTCAACAATATCAAAGTCCAAACTAGTAGTGCTGAAGTAGTTTCTTGTCCAGCAAAGTAGAACAATTTACACTCGTCAATCACCTCTTCAATACTCATCCCAACATGCCGAAACTTTCCATCGCCAACAGCTTGTTGCATTTCTGTATAATTAGAATTCAATAGGATATCCAACAAGTCAGACTTTGCCTCTTCTCCAGCTTCAATGGCCTCTTTCCTCTTGTTGATAATTGTACGCAGTGATGTATGTATTTTATCTTCAGTTTCCTTAAACCTCCTATTTCTAGCTGTTGGAATGTATCTGCACAGAAGGAGCAGGATTAAGCCCCACTCTTCATAAAAAATCTGTGGAAATTTGTAGGCTGCTATTAATTAATACCTCTCTCCTGGGATATAAACTGATTGTATCATAAGAAGTGCTAAATCAGCCTGGTCCTTGAGAAGTTCAAAAATCCTTTGTCCTTCCTCATAGTTGCTACCAAATGCTGCTCTAGAGATCACATCAGCACTGAGTTTCACTAGGTCAGGCCACACATCTACCTCACCTGAACCCTTTTCAGCTACTACCATCTCCCATTTGTTAATGATCTCTGCACAACTATCATGGAATGCTGGTAACATAAGCTGTAACAAGCATCATAAGCTAATTGTTACCATCCAAAAAGTTTCATTCCTAGTATATTACTTGTATAAGCTAGTATCTCATGTACAATTAGACTGATTTCTGTAGACGAAATGGTCAGTAGGTGAGTTGTCTTAGATTGTGCAAACTCTTACCGTATCTAACAAAAGTTAAGTAGAAGTGTAGGGAGTGACCTTTAATTTCTCCATATGGAAAGCAGGGTTGATCAGTCTGCGATGTTTCACCCATTTTTCTCCTTCTAAGTTGCTCAGCCCTGGAACAAGTTTTTTCAAAATGGGGTTCACCTTTGTCTTTCGAAATTCGTGCATCTTTGTCAAGCTCTCTCTGATCATCTCTGGCTTTGAGATATTTATCATCGGTACAGGGCCGAACCAAAGAAAGTAATCCTTTCCTACAGTAAACACCAACCCAAATCAATCTATATCACTAAAGCAAATGGTCTTTTCACTTTCTTTAACATTCACTCTCCTCTTCTTTAAGTGTGTGCCTAAATTGAACATGTCATCTAAATAGAAACGGAGGAATTATGAACAAATATCTGTAATATCCTCATACAGAGTACGAGTAATAATTTAACTCAAACCTAGTCCAACCATTCACTATTTGAGACTATGTGACAAGTCTGACATCTAATTTCCGGATCCTATAGCTGTATTATCTGACTATAATTCCAGACCAAAGGAGTACTTGCAATAATTTTAGCTGGATCAAGAACAATTCTACTTACTCCGTACATTTGAATCAATCTGTTCTATTTTTTTTGGTCAGTCCATCTTAGCAGCAAAAGTATGGTGCAAGTCCATCCCCTGATCAAAAAATCGTTATATGCATAAAATTAGATGATTTACCATATGTTGTGAGGTGATGATGGCGGAGAGGTTCCACACGCGAATAATGATCATCAGAGAAGCTGGTCATTGGGGTCTTCAAGGCCAGAGTTCGCATTGAGGCGAAATCTTTAAGGTCTCCAAATAAGAGTCTGTAAGAATTACCTGAAAATCCTTGTTGTCTGAGCAATTTATCTAGCTTCTTGGGCCTCAACCATACCCAATTTACCACTTTGATCAACACTGTCACTACCAATACACAGACTACTGTTAATAAAACAGAGCTTGTTGATGCCAATTCCATTTCTTTTCTTTTTTTTTATGGGTTTTGTAAATTTTATGCCCAGATTTCCTGTTTAAATAGGAGATTTTTATTTTCTTTTTTTGTTCTGACTAAGTAAAAACAGGGGATGCAACTACGCAAGGGATGATGTCAGATCATTCAAATGAGGTTGGTTTTAAATTTTAATCCCATCAGCCTTTTTAAAAAAATTATATCTTGTATTTATTTAGGAAAAGTCTCAATAAAATTAAAAGAAAGGGTTTTTTTTTCTTTATTTGTTGATTATTGACCCTTTTAATGTTTAACGGGAGGAATATTGAAGGTCTAAAGGAAACTGAGAAAGACTGCATTTTGATTTCAAAGTCTGATACTTTTATTTGTGAACATGTGCAAGACTTTGTTTATGTACGCCTAAGGATTGATGCAAAAATAGAAACTTACCTATATGTAGGGATTGCTAACCAAATTTTAGTTAGTTTTTGTTGATTTTTCTATCTTGTATCACTTACCTTAGCTCCAAACAGCATAGCTTCCTATCGGCAATCTTAATTTTTAAAAAATTTCATCTGATGTATATAATTGTTAAAAATTTTGGTGGTTCATCCTAATAGTTGCACACTTGCAGTCTAGTCTTGTTATATGACTCAATAATCTGAAATAAAGTTTTTTTTTTTGTTTTCTTTCTTTGATTTTCTTGTATTCTTCTTGATGTAATGACGAAAACTCTCACTTGTGTGTATACTGGTGATTGGCAGATATTAGTAGGAGTCAAAGTTGGTGGCTGGTGTAAACGTCAAAGCAACAAAGGGCATTATATTATTTGAGGTAAAGATGTGATCAGGACTTTGCTTTCTTAGAAGAAAGACTTTTGCACATTTGGATTATAGGTTTACTCTTTTAGTTTAATTTTGTTGTTGCATTGCTTCCGAAAATTATTTTTTCATTGTTTCTTATTAATCCTTTCATTATCAAAATTGGAACTTGACAAACTAAGATTTTAATACAAAAATTACTAAAACTAAAAATCAGTTTAAAGCTTACATATCTAAACTCTGTTCATCCAATCATTACAGAGTTTTAAATGAATCTCCAGTTTATTTCTGGTTATTGAAGAAAATGCATAGTTTTAAAAATGATTTTAACATAAAGTATGAAGTTCAGTTGTGTTTTTGCCTTTGAAAAGATGAACAATACAAACTTATAAAACAATCAAGCCAACTCTTTCTAAGCAAGTAAGCATAATTAAGAAACCTGTGATTATAATACAATCAAAGCTTGTATAAGATTATATGAGCACCATGCTGAGGTTGTAGAAACAGCGTAGTCCTTGGTGCATGAACATAGGATGGTGAAAGCTCAAAGGAAAATCGTTGAAGAAACATGCATATTGCCATTTTTACTTCGGCTATTGCAAATTTTTCCCCTATGCATATTCTTGGTCCCCAACCAAAGGGAAAATATGAGTTATTCCCATTTGTTGCCTTGGAAATCCCTTCAGCAAACCTCTCTGGCTTGAATTCTTCGGCATCATCACCCCAAAGTTCCTTGTCCATGTGGACTATATTCATAAATATAGTGATCATTGTACCTGAAGGAAGTGATAATGTACCTAGATTTGTATCCTTTTGAACCCATCTTGACAACTGCATTACTGGTGGATAGAGTCTGAGTACCTCATACAATATCATGGTTATCTAAAACAAACCAGCCATATTGTTAGAAGATTAGTCAAATTAATATATTACATTATAAAAATGAAACATTGAAAGCATAGGGAAGGGGGGAAAAAACTTACTGTCTTCAAATGATTTAAACTTTCAATGTCAGGCACCTTATTGCCAAATGCTTGCAACACTTCTTCCCTTGCTCGTTCTTGCCAATCTTGATGCTTGCTCAACAGTATCATTGTCCAAACTATTAGTGTTGATGTAGTTTCTTGTCCAGCCAAGTAGAATAGTTTACACTCAGCAATCACATCTTCAAGGCTCATCCCAATATGCTCATTCTTGTTACTTCCAGCAGCTTTTTGGATTTCTTTTGAATTGGAATCCATGAGTATACTCAATAGGTCAGTCTTTACCGCTTTTCCAGCCTCAATCTCCTCTTTCCTCTTGTTAATGATTGCTCGTAATGAAGTACGCATCTGATATTCCAGCTTCTTAAATCTCCTGTTTCTCGGTGTTGGAATGAATCTAATAGCAAGCAGCATGCAGGGTTATATCAAGGCTTACTTCGCTTTTTAAATTTTATACACTATGGTCCTAATTTACCTCATTCCTGGGATATAAATTGATTGTAACATAAGAAGACCTACATCAGTCTGCTGCTTCAGAAGTTCGAATATTTTTTGTCCCTCCTTATAATTGCTACCAAATGCTGCTCTAGAGATCACATCAGCACTGAGTTGCATCAAATCTGGGTACACATCTAGCTCACCTGAACCCCTTTTAGCTATTATCATCTCCCATTTGTTGATTATCTCTTCACAACTGTCACGAAATGCTGGTAGCATCAGCTGTAACAAGCATCAAACTCAAATTATAGCCTGGTAGTTTAATGGCTTGTATAACCAGTAGTATATTACTCATATTAGATGATATGTAATCTAGGAAATCATATAGAGGAGATTCCTTGAATCACCTGTAGTTACAGTTGAAAGGCATGAAAATTCCGTAGTAAAAGAAAAGAATTCATTATGAAAAGTGAATAATTTATATTAGATAATATTAAAGAGTTTATGAGAAACACCTTCAACTTCTCTACATGGAAAGCAGGGGTTATCAGCTTTCGATTTTTGGCCCATTTCTCTCCCTCGAGGTTGACAAGCCCTGGAAAAAGTTTTTCTAAAATGGGGTTCATCTTCAACTTATGAAGCTCTTGAGTTTTGGTGAATGCCTCTCTAATCAACTGTGGTTTTGAGATCTGTATCATAGGTATAGGGCCAAACCAGAGGAAATCTAGTCCTACGTTTATGATAATCATGTATTAGTAATTAGCTCATCTCAATAAACGATATCAAGTAATAATCTGTGTTACGTGTTACTCTATATGTCTTGAAATGTTGTTATTACTTTTGACTTTATTTTGGGGATAATCATTGTCAAATTATTAACAACATTTCAAATCCAAAGGAGTAATTGTTTCACATTGACTTTAAAATCTCCAATGGCTTTGACTTTGAACTTCAAAAATCATTACTTCCTATGTTTTTTTTTAGAACTTGATGGTTAGGCTCTCGGTATATGGTCTAACTAAGTGATATAGCTAAGACATTTAAAGTCAAAGTGTAACAACTAACACGAAATCCAGTATATGTAATGCAGAAATCAGAGAAGAGGATAGATTACCCAGTTTGGGAGCAAGCTGATGGCGGAAAGGTTCCACTCGAGGGAAATAATCATGAGAAAAGCTATCCATGGGGTAGTTTAAGGCCTCAGCACGCATCGCGACAAATTCTTTGAGATCTCCAAACAAGAATCTGTAAGAAGTACCTGAGAGACCTTGCTGTCTGAGCAATCTCTCCTGCTTCGTAGGCCTCAACCATACCCAATTCATCAATTTGATTAACACTGTCACAACTAAAATACATAATACTGAAAGCAGAATAGTGCTTGCTGTCATTTTTTCCATTGATTTATTGATATAGTTGTAAGATTAATTCCTGAAATCTCATGATTTGATGAAATAGGGGTATATATGCTTCATTTGTTATGAGAAAAAGAAAGACAGGTTGCGTAGATTAGAAAGTCAACATCATATTTTAAATATTGTTTTTGGTTGTCATTCTAATCATGTGGATGATGTAATAGGACTATAGGCGTAATTTTTTATTTTGTTGAAGTTTCCATATACGAGGTGGAAGCGTGGAGCTCGTGGAAGTGAATCAATACGAGATTTTGTGTATATATTTTCTTTAATTTTTTTTAATGGGGTTTTTATAAGACAATAATTAAATCCTACACTTGAAAATATAATGCAAACTTATACTCCATAATTTTTAAAGAATATAAAATTAGATTTGAATTAACAATGATAAAAGAACATAAAATGGTGATACGAATAAATAAAATAACAAGAAAAATTATATTGTATGATACATGCTCCTCTTTTTTTTTTTTTTTTTTTTTTTTTGGAAGACTGATACATGTTCTTTTAATTGTATCTAAGATGTAATGGATAGATGCTATGTACTTATGCTTTGATAGGAGTATATACTATGATTACTATCAAAGCCTTTTTTAAGAGTGAAGGATAGTTCAAATGGTTAGAGCTTCCCTCCCGGTTCTCAGGAGATCCTGAGATCGATTCTCTTCTCCACCCTAGGGGAGTTGTGGCTCTCTAAACACCCAAAAAAAACATCAAAGCTTTTTTAGGATTATATAGGCACCATGCTGAGGTTGTAGAAACATCAAAAACCTCGGTGCATGAACGTAGGAAGGTGAAAGCTCAAAGGAAAACCGTTGTAGAATCATGCATAATACCAATTTTGCTTCAGTCATTGCAAATTTTTCCCCTATGCATATTCTTGGTCCATAACCAAAGGGAAAAAACGCGTTATTTCCTTTTGTTGCCTTGGAAATTCCTTCAGCAAACCTTTCTGGCTTGAATTCTTCAGCATCATCACCCCAGAATTCCTTGTCTCGGTGAATCGTATTCACATAGACGATGATCACTGTACCTGAAGGAAGTGATAATGCACCTAGATTTGTATCCTTATGTACCCGTCTTGACATCTGCATTGCTGGTGGATAGAGTCGGAGTACCTCATACAATATCATGGTCATCTTCAACAAACCAACAACAACATTATTAGAACATAGAAGGTAGATCAAATTACAAAAAAAATCATTTTAAACTTACTGTCTTCAAATGGTTAAAATTTCGAAGTCAGGCACATTATTGCCAAATGCTTGCAAGACTTCTTGTCGAGCTCGTTCTTGCCAATCTTGATGCTTGCTCAACATAATCATTGTCCAAACAATCAGTGTCGATGTAGTTTCTTGCCCAGCCAAGTAGAATAATTTACACTCATTAATCAAATCTTCAAGACTCATCCTTACATGATGATTCTTGTTACTGCCAGCAGCTTGTTGGGTCGTTTTTTTTGAATTGGAATCCATGAGTATACCCAATAGATCAGCCTTTACCGCGTCTCCTGCCTTTATCTCCTCCTTCCTCTTGTTAATGATTGCCTGTAATGAACTATGCATCTGATCTTCCAGCCTCTTAAATTTCCTGTTTCTCGGTGTTGGAATGAATCTAAATGCAAGTAGCAGAGTTATGTTAGGCCTTACTTTAATTTGCTCATTAAATTGAATTTGATTAGTGGATTATATGTAGTATAAATTACCTCATTCCTGGGATGTACACTGATTGTAACATAAGAAGGCCTAAATCAGTCTGCACCTTAAGAAGTTCGAATATTTTTTGTCCCTCTTCATAGTTACTACCAAATGCTGCTCTAGAGATCACATCAGAACTGAGTTGCATCAAATCCGGGTACACATCTAGCTCACCTGAACCCCTCTTAGCTACAATCATCTCCCATTTGTTGATTATCTCTTCACAACTGTCACGAAATGCTGGTAACATAAGCTGTAACAAGCGTCAAAAGTAACTTATTAATTACTTTCCTAGTAGTTTGATAGTTCATATACTCAATTAGTTAATTACTTGTACTTGTGGAGATCAAGATGATTTCTTGATTCACTTGTTATCTAATTCAAATGTATGACAAATCCGTATCTAATTGACAGTTCAATAATCCTTTGCTTAAGACAAATATAAATTAGTTTAGATTGTTTTGTTGTGTCGAGTTGTGTTTGTGCCTGAGTTCCTCTATAAAATAAATGGCCCAAGCCTAGCCCTAACCTAGCACACACAGTAACATGTCATGTCATAGACCAACCCGATACCATATTTAATAGTGATGAGTTTAAGGAAATGACCTTCAATTTGTCAACGCGAAAAGCAGGGTTGATCAGCTTTCGATGCTTAGCCCATTTCTCACCCTCAAGGCTAACAAGCCCTGGAATAAGCTGTTTCAAAATGGGGTTGACCCTCACTTTATGAAATTCCTGCATTTTCGTCAACGCCTCTCGAACCAAATGTGGCTTTGAGATTTGTAACATAGGTACAGGGCCAAACCAGATAAAGAAATCTTTTCCTACATACATTGATACCGATCATGTGCTAGAAATTAGTTCATCATTTATAAATTTTTTTCAGAAAATAATGACAGTTAGAAATTTCCTACATGATCCCACGTTATTGTGAGTTTTTTCCTACATACTTCATGATGATCAAACTAATCTATGTTAAACATCCAAAGTCAAAGTGTAGCAACTAAAAAAAATCGAAGAAGTGTATGTACAAATGTACATTCACCCAAGACAAGGTAAACATCAACTTATCAAGTGTAATTCAGAAATTAGAGAAGAGGAAGCTAAGATTACGTACATACCAAGTTTGGGGGCAAACCGATTGCCAAAAGGTTCCACTCGAGGGAAATAATCATCGGAAGAGCTATCCATGGGGTATTTTAAGGGCTCAACACGCATCGCCGTGAAATCTTTGAGATCTCCAAACAAGAATTTGTAAGAAGTGCCTGAGAGACCTTGCTGTCTGAGCAATTTCTCTAGCTTCTTGGGCCTCAACCATACCCAATTTACCAATTTGATTAACAATGTAACAACTAAAAGACATATTACTGATAGCAAAATAGTGCTTGCTATCATTTCTTCCATCTATTTCTTGCTTTTTTTGTAAGATTAATTTACTGAATTCTCAAGATTTAATGAAGCTCTTGATTTCTATAGGAGTATATATGATTCATTGGGTTGTGTAAATCCGAAAGTCAACTCTCGTAATTTTAATTTTGTCTTGGTAATCAAGTAAAGTAGTGTATGTTGATATTGTCGTAACAAGATTAAAATTTTGTTTTTGTTGGAGTATGAAGTTTCTCAATCCGGGGTGGATGCGTCGTGATTCGTGAAGAAACTCATGGATATCTTCCTTAAATTCTTTTTACGCCGAGGTTGCTTAAGACATTGATTAGATCCTAACATATGACACTATTGACATATACGCGTAGTTTTGAAAATAATGTAAACTTAGATTCAATTGAAATAAAAATGAAAAATACGAGTAACATTCAGTAATTCATGATAAAATAACAGAGAAACATGAAAAAAGATTTGCAAAATTAGCTTGTTAAGATCGATCTAACAACTTGTCAATATATTGCTGAAAAGGCGACGCGAGCCATGGAATTAGAGCTTGTTTTGTGCTCTATATCATCCTCATGACCCCATTTTTATTTACAATGAAAATTATTGCTACTAAATAACAGCAACAACTACTAGTCTACTACCAAAAACAGGACAAAAAAATTATCATCACAAGTTCACAACAACTAAAAATTGCTCCTAATTGAAAGCAAAAAAAATATAAGCAAAGCTCCTAATAAAGAAAAAAAAAACAGCATTAATCATGAAATTAAATCTAGCTTATTAAAGTTGAACCAAGTAACTCTATCACACAATATTCTGTTCTCCAAGCAAGACTAAGCTTTCTATATACCTTTGAAGAAATTTTATGGGTAGCCAATTTGTGTTAGAGAGTGTCTTCGATTCTTGATGAAATTCAAGGTTGTACGAACTCGATCCCTTAGGTAAGTTACGAAACCACAGCTCAATCTTGTTACTCGAATACATATGACCTTCAAGCTTGATGTCTACATTGTATTGTTTATTCCAATCATAACCCGAATCGGATTTTTCGCGCTTCCATACACTAGCATGTATTCTTCTACGACCATAATAATAGTCTAAAACTGCCAAACTGTTGTCCAAAACTGCTGAGCATCTCTTGTGTTCTGCTTCCGCGCTACCCTCCTTCATGTCAGGCAATTTGATGCAAGTAAAAGCCTCGCTCGAAAAATCGAAACAGAGAAAATGCGTCAAATTTGATGTCTTCTTCTTATCGACACTTCCTAGCCAATAAATCTCGTTGTCAAGATTTACAGGCGTTACAAATTGTGTAAAATAAATTGTAGTAATTGGAATTTCCCTCTGTTTTGGGTTTAACCACGAATAATTTCGAAGATTATAAACCTTTGTAGCGGTCAAGTATTTCGCCAAATGAAAGGCAATTACCTTGTAAGTCTTACTCATGGAATCAAACCCGAACCCAAACTTCATGTTCTTGTACCACCCTTTAGGTAGAAAACATGGGATTTCCAAGACCTTTCGAATGATTGGATTCCAAAGTACGATTTTCGGGTCGTTTCCATTGAGATGCATTAGTAACACCCCATCAACATAATTGACAACACGGTTGACACTTGAACGGTGGAACATTCTTGGTGTATTGAGTCGAGCTACTTGAGCAAACGTATCGGTTCGACATAAAACCATATCTCCGCGCTCCTCTTGACGGCACAAGTAGTACTCGTTTCGACAACCGGGAAGTGTAAGCTGTTGTTGTTGATGTTGGAGATGAAGTGACACGAAATCTTGATTGGTGATAATGGTGTTCCATTCTTTGCAAACACGCCTTAGTTGTAGTAAACTTGTTACACTGAGTCTTGAAAATATTTTCACAAGTAACTCAGTTGGTAATTCATCGAACACCTTTCTCTTCTTCATCTTGCTCATCGATTGATGATCCATGGACTCGAAATCGACGATGACAACAACGACGACGATGACAATCGATTTCTTTTGAGGTTTTTATGATTGATTGAGGGAAGGAGAAAAACTGATTTTGGGTTTCTTGATTGAATGGAATGTGGTTATGAATTGAACATTGGAATCGAGTGTGTGTGTATATATATAGAGGTTTTTTTTTTTTTTTTTGGAAACAATATAGGGGTTTAGTTAGGTAGGGTATAATAGTAAATTGAGTGGGACCAAATTTCATTGATTAAGCTGATCTTTTTCTTATTTATTCCGTTTTTTTTTTTTTTTTTTTTTTTTTTGAAAGAATGTATTTTTTAAAAAATTTAATTAGACGAGAAGCTGATGTTCTTTTTATAAAGTGATGGTTTTACATTTTTGAAAATTGTTAGTAATTTTTTTTACAAAATAAATTGTGACATGACAAGCTTGTGTGACTCTATGCTTTTGAATTTCAATTTATTAAGGAGTACTTATATTAAGAAATGATAAAATTCTGTGAATAAAAAGATTAATTAATAAGATTGAAAGCTGTATATATATGTCAAGAGTTATTGTGTCTAATAAAACCTCTTATATCTTTCTCGGCCTTTTGGCTAAAATCAAGTGTAATTGTGTTTATACATCTGAGTGTACAGTATACCTATCTAAAGGGTATTTATTTGTTTATTTGATGATAAAATAAATAATCATCAAAATGAGAAAATAATACCCGAGTGCACCATGCACCCGGGTGTATATAACAATTTCTCTCAAAAAATTAGGTTAATGGTGGAAATTCGACAGAAATTTCTCACAAATTTGGGTTTTATAGAAGTATAATATTTGAAAAAACATCTAATTTTTAAAGATATTCCTCTTCAAACAGAATATGTCTAATAATACAATTATATTTGGGACTTAGAAAACAGTTTCACAATACTATGTTGTTTAGTTGATTTAACAAGATGTACCACCATTGTTTTTTTTTAAAAAAAAAAAAAAAAAAAAAAAAAAAGTACCACCATAGTAAGTTAATAAGAAATATAGAGAATTAAAATATCAGTTTAGTACCATTAATTTCAGTTTAACAAAAACATTTTAATTTAGCAAAATATATATATATATATATATATATATATATATATATATATATATATATAATTTGGAAAATCCAATTTATATTCTGCAAAAGGTTTAGTTCGATAGGGTAGTTATGGTAAATTTTTTTTGAACGGAGTTATGGTAAATTGAGTAGGACTAAAATTCTAGAAGTTTCATGGATTATAGCTTATGTTCTTTAATAAAGTGATGGTTTTACATTTTTGAAAATTGTTAATATTTTAAATTGTGACATGATAAGATTATGTGACTCTTTAATTATGGTCTTGAATTTCTATTTATTATGGAGCACTTTATATTAAAAATGACACGCGTAAATCAGTGTTATTAGTGTTTATATTTTGATGATTTCTTAACTTTTTACGATTTTTAAGTGTAAATTTAATGCTTACATGTAGCCCTAAGCTATATATAACATTTTCCTTAAATTTAATCTAAATATGGTATAAAAATTGTCACTTTGTATGTTAAGAGTTCTTTTATTACTCCCTCTGTCCCCTTTTGATAGTCCCTTATGGACAAACTTTAGTCCCTAAATGTTTACCGCATTTGCTTTTTCCAACAACCATTAATATTAATTTTTTACCAAAATTCCCTCCAATTTGCAACAATACTTGTGCAAATTTAAATTTCCCATGTAAATTTTGTTTTCCCATGTACTTTTATTACTTTCTCTCTCTACTTTTTTGCATACCCAATGTCAACTTACTTTTTCAATGTACTTTAACTACTCTTATTTGTGTATTAATTCCCGTGAAAAATGCCCATAAGGGACTATCAAAAGAGGACGGAGGGAGTAAAAGGTTTTTAGAAAGTTTGTCCTGATTTTGGGGTGTTTGGAGGTGGGTCAATGTCGGGAATATAGGTCAATGGTAGAAATTTGACCATCAAGTGTATATATAGAGGCCATGTCTAGTTAGGTTTATAAAATTTACTAGTTTTGTGCCCCGTGCATTGCTCGGGTTGTTTATTAAATTTTGAGATAAATTTTTAATCTATAGGTCATATGTCAAAATTCAAAATATATATCCAATACAAAATTAGTTAGAAATTGATGTAATTTTATGACGATTTAAACTATGTAGTAGGCATGTAAATGACTAATAATAATATTGGTATTTTTTTTAGAGTTATAATCTAATAGGTTTTTTATAATAAAATTATAATTCAATTTATACCTATGAAATATTGGTATTATATCGAAAATATAACTCTCAACTAATAATTTTATCCTAAAATTCTATCAAAATTTGATTGAAAATAGAATTATAAACTAATTTTTTTTTATCCTATGCTATGAAGTCTATCTAAATATATCCAACGTGACACGACACTTGGCGAATTGGAATGTCAAGTGTTACTGTCTCATGGCCTGACTAAAAGTTTAGTTTTATATATTAGTTACTTCCTCCGTTCTTTTATTATTGCACCACTTGTCTTTTTAGGAAGTTTCACAAATATTGCACCATTTTCCTATTTAGGAAAAAAAATATTTGTGTTCACACTACAAATACCCAACATACCCTTGCTTTTTCACACTTACTTCCTCCGTTCTTTTTTACTTGACCCGTTTTGACTTTTACACTATTCAACACCCCTCATTTGACCGTATTTTGTGAATAATATGTAAGGAAAAACATATTTATGTTGGATCATTTTGAATTTGTCTCAATAAGTGCTGTCATAATATATAACTTTTATATTTTTTAATTATGGAGAATTAAAGTTATTAACTGTTAAAGTTTTGAATTGGCAAGCGTGATAAAAGAAACAGATCAAGTAAAGAACAAAGGAAGTACTTTTTAGTTAATCAATATGTCACATGGGCAATTTTGTATTTTTTTACCTTTCTCTCTCTTACTTTTTTCCACTACCAAAATATTTGTACCCAACCCCTACTGTGCAATAATAAAAAACGGAGGAAGTATATGATATGATATGATATGATGTTATTTTAATATGAAATTCTTGTTATTTCAATTTATATATATTTTATTTTAAAATAAGAATTTGTTATTTTATATTTGCATATTGTTTTTTTTTTCAACATTGATCATTTCGTTGTATTCCAGAGGTTTATAAAACTTATGTTAATTTGATGTGAACCTCTTATTATTTCAATTTATATATATGTTTATTTTTTAAATTGGTACATATTATTTTAATAAATGCATGTTTTTTTTATGCATGATGTTGAAGTATGTAAATAAGTGAATAATATATTATTTTAGCAAAATAAACACAAGGTTTTGAGCAAAATAACATGAGACTTAGGCAAAATAACTCAAGTATATTGGGTATGCAGTACCGTGATCCGATCCAGGAGTATATAATACTAACTCTAAAAAAATTAGAAATTATTTTATATATTTGGGTGCACCGTGCACCCAAGAGTGTTCATTTGATGATAAAATAAATAATCATCGAAATGAACAAACAATATCCATGGTGCACCATGCACTCAGGTGTATATAATAATTTCTCTCAAGTGATGATATTTGACAGAGATTTCTCACAAAATTTGGGTTTTATTAAACTATTATTTGAAAAAATATGGACAATTTTCAAATGTGGCCATTGTGTTAAATCAAATCACAACTGTTTATTTTTATTAACTAATATGAACCGTCGGTATGGATTAATTTGTATTTATTTATAATTAATGATAAAAAAAATTTAAAAAAAATCACGTACTTATCAATTTCATAATTGTTTACTTTTTTTTTTTTTGAAACAAATCAGTTCATTAATAAAAAGCGATCCAGCCTGTACAAATGAAATCTAAATTAACAAATACCTAAAATTAAATCAAATAAGGGTTTTCTTTATCAAAGCTACGATTGTTGAAAAGATCTTGCATTGTGGTACATCTCTTGCACACATTGCTGGAAATATACCGCCTTTTCGGAAAGACGATCTAACAATTTGTTGTAGCCGTAAGGATGATTCTCATCTGATTCGTCTGAACGTATTTGGAAACTTGACAATCGTTGTGATTCCGAACAAATTTTTACCAAGGAACTGACTATAGGGCCAAAGATGATTACCTTTTTTATGAACCCTAACACACAAACAAACCCTAAACATAAACAAACAACTAAACTAACAAAAACTAACGACTCCACTATTGGGAAACACTCCACCATAGGGAGACGGACAAATATCTACACTACTACTTGTGTAGATTTATTGAAGCCTAAAATGCAAAATTAAATAAAATTAAGGGAAAAGGATCTAAATAGTCTAATTTTCGAAGAAATTAGACTATTTTCGGTCTAAACGGCCAAAATTTTGGAGAAACAAACCCTAGAAGAGAGGAGGAGAGAAGATGAGAGGAGAGGAGAGGCTAGTTTAAAGGCTAGTTACAATAAAATGTGGGACATAAAAAATAGCTTCACAACATTATGTTAGTTTAGTTGATTTACCAAGATGTACCACCATTGTTTGAAAAAAAAAATGTACCACCATAAAAGGTCATGTTGTCTTCACTCTTCAGCTTCACCCAGAAACAAAATCATTTCATTAAAAATCAGTAAGTTAATAAGAAATATAATAATAAAGAATTAATTAAAATAATTTCAGTTTAATTTCAATTTAATGAAAATATTTTAATTGAGCAAAAATAATTTAAATTTGGAAAAAGCGATTTCTGAAAGTCACCTAAGTTGCTACTCCGTAGTTGCTAGTTTGGTAGCGTTAAGAGAAAGCCCATAAACAGAGTAACAATTTAAATTCTTATTCCGTACTTCCGTAGTTCTCTAGCTTCCAATAGAAGCTTAAACATATACAGTATTTACTTCTCTCTAGAATCCCCTTCTTGCTTCTTCAGCCTTGTTGTTGATTTTTTTCCTTCTTTTTTCAACAACAAGTTTCTCCTTGAATTTCGTCATCATCACCGCCATTGTTTCAACATTTCGATCTTCCATTGCCTTGCTCTTTGATGGTGGTCGTTAGAGTGGTAGACTCTTAATATTCGGTATTCATATTCTTTGCCTTTATTTGTTTTTCTTGTTAATTTTCTAATATATCAACGTCTTGTTGCTTGTGACCCTTTGTTACTATATTATATATTCAATTTGCATAATAAGAGATTTAAAGGGTGAAATTCTCACAAGTCCGCTTCTTTTAATCTTCACGATGATGGGTTTTCAATTAATTGTGTTTTTGTGATTGGAATTCTTTCATATTGTTCAACATTTGTAGCCATTTAATGTTTAGATTTTTGCTGTTATGCTTTGCTATATTATTTTTGGTGAATTGGTTGGTAATGTGGGTGTTTAACACACTACTTATTTGCAACTCAAATTAAAATTTTAGATTATTGATAAGAATTATTAAACATATTTATAATCACAATCTTATTGTTAAAAAAAACATGACACGACATGACAACGATTAACTACACCCGTTAAACAAGTTTAGGTGAAGAATACATTCTGCTTTGGGGGTTCGGTTAAAGTGAAACGTTTGGTTTTTTTGAGAAGAAAAAGGTTAGGATTGTGGATGTTATTAAGCACGCTGTTGCTTTTATTGATGAGTATGTGAAGGCAAATGAGCCTTATTTTAGAGCTGGACAACCTTAATCTCTTCAATTCTCTGAAGAATGGAATTCGTGCTAACAGTGATGTTGGAATTGTGTTAAATGATATTTTTCAGCTTGCTAAGTCTTGTTCTAGGCTTGTCTTTTCTTGTGATAGAAGAGAAGGTAATAGAGTTGCTCATAAACTAGCTAATATGAGCAGAAATTTTGATGGCTTAAGGGTTTGGATCAATGAGATCCCTTCCCCTGCTACTGCTTTTGTACTCTCTCATATCTCTTAAGCTATTTTATTTGGTTACTATATGTTATTCTTTGCACCATGTAATTATTCATTTAGCAAATAATTTGTGTCCAACTGTTAATATTCTTATGGCTATTTATGCACATTACAGTTTTCAATGGAGAACCAATGAAACAAAAATTCAGAAGCCGCCACCAGTCTACCAGAGGAAATATGGACAGATATCCTTTCGAGACTCCCGGCCGAATCCCTTGTAAGATACATGCTTGTCTGCAAGTGTTGGTGCTCTATCATCTTATTCATCAACAACAAGGATTTTGTTTCAAAGCATTCAAACCTTTTTAACACCAACCAAAGCAATGAGCTACTTACAATTGAAAGAACCGAAAAAAATAATGTTGTTAAGGAGGTAATAAGATTCCGGAAAAGTAGTTCATTTAAGAGTATATCTGTTAAGACTATATACTTAAGTGAAGGGATAGATCATGGTTAAGGGTTACGCGAATGGGGTGTTCTTGATGAGTAGGTTGGACTCCCCTCTTGTTTTTCACCTATGGAACCCTAGCATTAATAAGTTCGCGTCAATTCCTGAATGTCCTTTTCTAAGAAACGAACTTAGTTTTTCTTCTTCTTTTGGTTTTGATTCTTTGTTAGATGATTTTAAAGTGGTCATTGTTAAGACTAGGCTAATTTTTAGTCGAGTTCCTAACTCGACTGCAATTTTTTCAATAAAAACCGGCCTATGGAGTCTTAAGCTATTGGAGGATGTGGGAGATTGGTGGCTAATTAAGGGGAACCCACTATTCTCCAAAGGTACTTTGAATTGGCTGGCACGCGATGGAAGGGTAGAACACGGTAGTGGGAGACCTACCCATATCGCGTCATTTGACTTGGGTACTGAGGCATTTACCTTTGTTAAATTGCCAGAGGATGGAACAGGGGAGAGGGAAAAGTCTACGATTTATCTTCCTTCTTGGAGGATCAGTAGGTCTCTTAGATGTTTCGCCGTGGCAAAACAGTATATGGGTTCTAGATAACAAGGATGCACAAGAGACATGGACTAAGTGGTTTTCAACAGATTCATCTCATGGTTCATACGAGTATTTTGAGCATCATGGCTGTAATATTAGTCACTTGTGCTATGTTGAGAAGACTAGCAAGTTTTTCATGTTGATAGAGAGAAAAACAAAGTCCTATGATCTCAAAAATCATCAGATTGTCGATCTCAGAACATCGAAATGTCTAATGGTACTTGTGTAAGCTAATACCAGTTAGGCTTTACAAGATTTTTGAACTTGTTTAATAATACTCCAATCTGATGTTGATTTAGCAAGCTTCTGTTTCAATATATTGTGCATGCTTTACTTAATACGTAGTACTTATCTCATTGCTGTTAAGTGCTAACAAACTGCCATACATAGTGTCAAAATTTGAATTTCTCATCCAGGCAAAATTTTAATTATGTGATCTCTAAGTTGGAATACTGGAAATTGTACAAGAATGAACCAAATCATTACCTCTGATTTGATTAAAATGTTACTGAGCATAATACTATCTCAAGATCATACCGATAATACTCAAATGGAGAGGCTACTACAAATTTCTTTGTAATCAGCAAGATTCGAAAATACAATTTGCAATAAAAACACAATAAAACTGGACACATTTAATACAACTTACAACTTATTGACTTATTCTAAAGACTGATAACTGAAAGTGATGCAGAGTCATCAACTACTATTGAAACACACTTCCCATAAACATCTACATGTACTAATTCAGTTCTTTCCTTGTTTATATCCTCCAAGCAACACTAAGCTTCTTTATAAGTATCCATAAATTCGACGATCTGCCTATCATGTCTTCCAAGATTCTTTAATTGTTGAGTTTTGAAGTCATATGAGAACACCTGCCTCGATTTTCCATAGAACAATAATTCAGCATTCTCCCTCAAGCACAAGAATTTATGAACGCGAAGATTCACACTATACCGTTTTGTCCAAGGATAATGACCATTTGCGCCATAAACATCCCTCACCCAAACACAAACCTGCTGAAATGTAAAAGAAAAGTCTATAATTGCCAGCTTTTTATCCACAACTGATGGACATCTCTTTGGTGGCTGCTTCCCGCCTTCTTCGAGTTCAAGATTAGGCAATTTTACACAAGTAAAAGCCTCACTTGATACATTAAAACACAATAGATGTGAATACCTTGCTCTTCTCTTCATATCATCACTAGCAAGCCAATAAATTGCACCTTCAAAATTCGTTGTAGACGAGAAATTCTTCAAGTAAAGCTTAGGAATAGTTGGATATGATCTCCTACGAATATTGTACTTCAGTGAAGACCATAAACCTGCTCTTAGTCTATAAACCTTACTTTTCGAATAGTTGGACCGCGTATCAACAGCAACAACCTTATAATCATCACTCACATGATCATAACCAAACCCGAAATTTGTAGTAGCACAAAATCTCTCTTTAGTTAAAGGAACGTCAAAAACCTTTCGAATTGAAGGATTCCACAACAAAATCCGTAATTGTCCAAAATTAACACGGTAATTATGTGTGTGTATTAGTAACACCCCATCAACATAACCTACTAAATGGCAATCATCCGTGCTTAGGTGCGCGATTTCTTCATACGTCCTAGGGACAACTACTTGTTCCTTTAACACCCCATCAACATAACCTACTTTCAAATAGCGAGTATCATCAAGGTCCGCGACTTTGGTTAATGTATCTACATGTCGAACAACCATATGTTTCTTCCAAGAATTACATTCACGCGACAACACGAAATTGTTCTCGATATTGCTCTTGTAAGAATGAAGGTGTAATTGAGATATATTCGGATTATAGGAGATGATAGAGTTCCAAGATTTACAAACACATCTAATGATCAAAAGAGTTTTTACTGGAATCCTAGCCAATACTTCTGCCAGTATTTCTTGAGGGAAAAGGTGCAACGTTATCTTGTTTTTTCTTTTCTTTGGAGGAAGATTGCTGAATTGATTACAAACTTCTTTCCTCAAAAAACAAAAGAAAAAAGAAAAGGAATTTTACACACAAGTTGTAATGCGTACGGAATATGATTGTAGAATGAAGTTTTAATTTACATCTATTTACATCTAACCCTTGTTTGGTAACCAGAATAGCCTTATCTCTAATTATAACTTCTTTTTTTTTTCCCCTTTTTTATTTGGTACTCCAATTTTTGCATAATAATTATTCACAAAATTCATTGTAAGCACTTTTAGTGATATACGTTAAGGAAAATATAATCATGTAAGATAAAAAGATTTGTCGACAACAATGTTTTCAAAAATATTATCTTTTTATGATTTTTAATCTAGATTTGGGTGAGATACTCTAAAGAACATAGAAAAAAATTAAAAGTATTCTTAAGGATAGATGGATCACTTACTTGTGGTAAAAATTAAATTAAAAAAAGGGACTTTTGGTTTGGAAGTTGGTATAGTCCGTTTGGATTGGGTCACTTTTGAATTAAGAAGTCACTTGAAAAATTCATATCATTTTAAAATTTATAATCGGTTACTACATACTACTCCGTATAAATAAACAAAGAACCAATCAGAAGAGGACCTTCCACCAACACCATTCTTGTAAATTATTGTAATTAAATAGTTAATGAACTTATTTTACGTATAAAATATTAAGCTAGGGATAAGAAATTCAAATCCCGACACCTTTAATATTTTTTGCCTAGACCCGCCACTTGAACTGATAAAGATTCGAAATCCTCCAAGAACGCAATTATTAATGAGCCCGTTTTGTAAGGCCCTATTTTGAGCCATAAGTCCATAACAAGAGAAAAAGGCCCAGATATAAAACGTTGAACTCGGTGCGAATTCATGGTGTTGGTGTCTCCGCGCTTTTGCCAACCCAGCCACGCTTCAGTGGAATCAGAGGAAGAGAGAGAGCAGAAATTGATGCAATTTTCTTGACTATTATCAAAATTTATAGTTTAATTTCAAGATTTTTTTTTTTATTAAATAGTAATTTGGGGATTTTTGAGAGAGAAGAAATGGGAACCCCAGAACCCAGCATCGACGATTTGTTCGAGTCGAAGAAGAGAATCAGGAATCCTCTAGTCCCAATTGGTAAAATTTTCTATCTTTCAATCTCAATATTTTCTTTTGATTACCATATTGTATCCTTAAATTTCATTTCTTGGGCTTTTCCCCTTAATTATAGCCTTGATTATCCAGTTGTTTGATAAAATAGTTGGAAATTTTGATGTTTAGGTCTTTTGTGATTGGAGTTGTGCGGGTGAATGTTAATTTTGCTTTAATATGATGATAGCAAAAAAAAAAAAAAAAAAAAAAATTGCAAATGGGGGTTTGAGATTGAGCTTTTAGATCTTTAAAATTAGGAGTCAGGAAGAATGGCATTGAACAACATTTCTGTTTAAGGGTTTATTCTTGGTTTTCGATGGAGGGTTATTGATTGTAGATGATTTTCGGAAGGGGATTCAATTATATAAGATAAAAATATTGGGATTGCTCATAATTTTGCTTAATACTTGGTCAATTGTTATAGAGAATTACCTAAGGATGATGGTGGAGTTTGGTTGGAGATCGAGTTGCTGAGGTTTGAGAAAGATGATGGGAGTTTAATATTCGAATTGTTGGTATGTAAATTTGATATGTTTATACTTTTTGGAGTGGAATGGAGTATCATATGTGATAGGTTTATACTCTTTATAGTTGTAGTGTTTGGTTAGGTTTCTAATGGAAGAAATGAAGGGTGTCTAGTGTTTGGTTGTGACTTGTGAGGCTCGTCTAGTGTTTGTAGAATCATTTGGAGTAGAGATAACATCATTTTTCTGTCAACACTTGCCATACATTCATTTAGGAAGATTTATAAATGGCTTTCTTGTTTTATATTTTCACGTTTTGACCTTTTATTTGCTCTTCTGAGGTATTCCTTTCTCATTAGGTTTATACAGGATTAGGTTATTTAGGTAGATGAATGGTGAAACAAGGTTTGTTTAGAATATTAATCTGATTCAGAGTACAATTCTTCCATCATGTGATCTAGTATACTAGTCTCCTTGTGTGAAGTGGAAGATAATAGCGTGCCAAAAGTGAACTGGAAAGAGATTCAGTGTTTATGATTGTATAGGGAATAGGCCATGCTTACATCAATTTGAATTCAGCTGCTCTTCTTTTGTGAGTTCATTAACATATATGCCACAAAGATGAGTGAAAGAATGACTTGAAGATGAGAGTGTTAACTATTCTGAGGCATTACTGGGACACTGAACATTATGTATGTACTTTAGTGCTCCATAAATATATGTAAATGACTATAGGTTCTAGCTTGATTAGTAGGGTATAAAGAAGAGCTAGGAGAGAGCATCATTTGCTGATAATCACGGAGTTGCGATCCCCACAGTTCTTATGTCAAGTTTTCACTTCTTGAAACAATCCTAGCTGATTCATCTGTTTATTGTTTGGTTTTCACCCCTCCTTTCCTACCCAGGGGCATAAGATTTGTTTTCAATTTATGAATGGATTTGAACATTCACCTGTTCAGCTGTGATTCAAGTGACTATACCACCAACATTGCTTGTTGTATTGTATTGCCAATGACCCTCTTTCAACTTATCTTTCTAATTTTACCTATATGTTATGCTCTACTAGTTCCTTATGTACTTATCAGCTAATAGATGAATCAGACATCGAAATTTATTTACAACTGCTGATTCAAATGTCAGTTTATGACAGTACATGGCTGCTAAATATAATTTTACAATAGTAGTTTTTTAAAAACAAGATTTTCATTGGATCAAAAGATTAATATCAATCCTACTGTAGAGGTTCTTTCTCTACTGGATTGGTGATCAAATTGTGTGTAATAATCTCTTCCACCATTTGGGAGGGTGGAGTCATTTGTGTTGATCCTTTTTAATTCCTATTTGAAAACTCGTAAGGTGACTTGAACGCTTCATTAATGGAGAGCAATGCTTAGGATTATATTTTGTGTTCCTTTCAGCCTGACTTCTATTCTTCTCCTGAAACAGTGTAGATTATGGAGCTACAGTATTTTAGGTTGGAGTTGTGTATAGAGTATAGACTATAGATATTAATGTTTGCCGTAACTTTAAGTGACTTGATTCATGGTTGAATTTTCAGGTGCATTATTGACCGCTGGAGTCCTTACAGCCGGCTTAATAAGTTTTAGGCAAGGAAATTCACAATTGGGTCAGAAACTTATGAGAGCCCGTGTGGTAGTTCAAGGTGCAACTGTTGCCCTTATGGTCGGCACAGCTAGCTATTATGGCGAAAGCTTCCCCAAATTTCCCGGCCTTTGAGGTATATGAAACTGCAGCATTCTGCCCTTGACATTTTAAGATACCTTGATTGGAATGATTTGGTGATACCAAGGACAGTCAATTATCAGGCCTAATTGCTGCTCTTCTATCTTCAAATACCTAGTTGCTCTCAAGGAAAAGTACATGTGTGCAGCATTGCATCTTTTAAATTTTGATTGTAAGAGGACAAATAATAGTATTACTGATACATTTATCTCCAGTTCCGGGAGTAAAAGTATGGTAGTTAGGCACAGGTTGATCACAACAGGCTTGTAATAAAATAGGGAGAAATATTTCTACTAATTGGGTGGCAAATTTTGACCCTTTAAATTTTACACTTAATAAGAGGGTTTTTTTTTTTTTTTTTTTTTTTTTTTTTTTTTTTTTTTTTTTTTTTTGTGTGTGTGTAAACTTTGTGGTGAAATGATTGTGCCCTGCTCACAATTCTCACATTCTGTTTTTAGTATGGGGCACATTTTATTTTGTGTGTTCACGCGTGCTTTGTCGTTGATTGAGCTATTTTTACATGTGAGAAATTTTACCATATTTTATCGTAGTCAATAACCTCTCTTTAATTTCTACAAAGTCGACCAAATCAGGCACTTAAATTAATCCATGACCCCAGAATAAGCTCATACAATATGAAGAATATAACACAGTTCAGGCCAATAACTTTTTATAAATTTTGTTGATCATCGATTTTATTTCGTTAAAACTTACTTTTATTAATAAAAAAATATACTTTTATCGGTACTTTTTAAAACATTATGGGTACTTTGCTTTGATTTTCACTAATCTTATGAACTGACATTATACTTCGTATTATGCTACCTCCGTTTTTTTTTAATTGACATGTATTCTATTTAGGAAGTTTTTTTTAGTTGACACATTTCTTTTTGGTGTAAATTTTTTACCTTAGATTAACAAGCTACCCCACTTGCTTTTTCATTCTCTCTAACTCTCTCTCCTATCTTTAATATATGTGTCTAAATCAAACGCGTCACCTAAATAGAATTGCAGGAAGTATGAGTTACAAATTAAATTTATTAATAATAAGATAAGGAGAACAGAGCCAATATACAAAATACGGAGCATATTTTAATCATTAAATGTAATACCCCGTAGCAGAATAGGCAAATAGGGAAGAATGTAATGATCACACGTTAGTAATTTAGAATGTCACCACGGGGCACTTTTTTGTAGTAGAAATTGTCAAAGATATTTCTCTCATTTTGTTTGAATAACATTTCTTCATTACTTTTCTTTCTAATTGTTTGTGCAATCTTCTGGATTTGGGTAAGTTCTTCTTAATTTTCTTCTATCTCATTCTTATAATAACTCAATATTTATCTTCATTTTACCCTTTCAATTTTGTCCCTCTATTTGTTTTTTTTTTTTTCTTTTTTGCATTGATTTGATTTTGTTATTACAGCTGATTTAAATATCAAAATGATCATGATAATCTCATAATTAGGGAACAAAATCAATTGATTGGAGAAGCGGTAGTTTTGAGAATATTTATGGGTTATTCCAATGTTAGTCAATGATCATCTTATTATAATTGCAAGTTTAGAGATGTAGATGTGATTCGGTCCTATAAATTTTTAGTTTTTTTAATGTATTGCTGTTATTTTTTTCTGGGTTTCTATTTTGAAGAAGGAAGAAGCTAATTCAGGAATTCGAAATGGAAATACATTAGCAATAGGGAAAGTAGTTAATATGAAATTGATGTTTTAAGGAAGTGACATTTGCAATCTGTTCAAGAGTAACCAAAGTAGAAATCTTGAGAGGAAATCTTAGTTATGAAGATTACCTGAATTTCCAGTTATTAGAAGAAGCTGGATAATCTTGATTCTCGAATAGAAATAGTTTATTTAATAGCAATAAGGCATCACAATGCTGTAGAATTTTAGGCAGGACTTATTAAAACTCGGTCAATGAATTAATTTCTTAGAACTTACAACCTATGCTGATATACACGTGCGCTTGGAGATGAAAATCAGTGTCGTTCATCACGTATCAGAACCTATGTTATTCGAACTCTTCCACTCAAGTACCCTATTGAATCCTCGACACTCTAACATGGGCATAACACTTGGACACATACTCTTCTTAGATAAAAGTACCTGAGCCTGAGTAACATAGATTTTGGCTCTAACTAGGGGGTTGTGGTAACAGATGAAATGAAGATTTGTGTAACATATATTGCCTCCGTTTCATATTATTTGCAACGATTTGACATAAAGCAGAGAGGAAAAGTGTCTAATCATTGTGGATCCTCAATCGCCTCATCTGCACTTTGTCAATTAGTCAATATTTAAGAGATGCTGATCTTTTGAAGTTTATCTTTGATTTATAGTAATGAAGTAGAGACAGAATCTTGAGATTATCTGGTTTATATGTTTTGGAAAGCACCAAACTTAGAGATGGCTGGATGTTCACTTGAATTCTATGGGATGATGCTATTATCTTTCCATGCGGAATGTGTAGGTCTACCAGACTGCCATTGCTTTGGAGTTTAGACTCTTTGTAGTTGCTGAGGTTGGTTTTAGTACCTTAAGGACAGCTTTGTGGTTAATATGTGTATATAAACAGCTTTGCTGATGTTCACTTGATTGGTTTTGTCTTCTGATTCCATTACTTGCTCGGTTTTTCTGTGGCCTTGGGAAATTATCTAGACACTTCAAATATTTGTATACATATTGTAAGATGTTTCTCTACATTTATCCTAGGGTCACCAATGATGTCTCATATTGATGAACTTTGACACTGATGCTTGATGCTGACAGAATTTGACACCTCTATTTCATATTTAACTTTTCACATGGTCCTAGATATATTGTGGATAGAATGAACATATTTGGGTGAACTAAGAATGTTTAGACATTTCAAATTCCAATTGCTTCCAGCAAGTTGATCTTATGAAGCTTCTCGGGGGAACAATGAGCCGCGGAGGCAGTACCTTTGTAATTCAGAATATAGTTGTAGTTAGGACCATCCATCCCATTGAATGCTGTGCCTCAGGCTATTGACGTTGTTTGGGTGGAAATTTGTTAAGTTTTACTGTGATGAGTTACCCCCTCTATGATCTACCTACATACTCTGATTATCAGGTGGCGGATAGGTAATATTTTTCTTGATGACAAGTTACATTGTCAATTCTTGTATCATGTTACTCCTCTGATGTGATATTTGAATTGCATGCTGAAGCTGTTAATTTTCTATATTATGGGCTTGAAATGTTGAATTCTTTGCATTATTGCATATATTATTGTCTGCTCTGTACATATCGGTTGAAGCAATCAGTGATTAACATTGTATATATGAACTAAGATTACCTTCTGCACCCTAATTTTTGTGTTTTGATAAACAATTAGGCATTTCTTCTCTGGAAAATTGTTTATGCTGAGACTGGAATTATATGTCATAATTGGTCTGTTGAGTATTCTTTATTTATTTGGTATATTGTAAAGTCTCTGTATTTTTTGTAGGTTCAAGCATTTGTGCAAATATATTATCATGTCTTCGCCAAGCAAGAGAAGAGAGTCGGATTTTATGAGAATGTAAAGTTCCTTACATTAATACTTCGCATTTTCACTGTCGCTAGCTTTAACTTAGTGCATTTATCTTGGCTGTATTCATTGACTTCCTGTACTCATTGGCTTCCTCTCTTGTCATCAAACTATGTTACTTTTGCACAATATTTGTTTTACCTCAACAGCAGCTATGACTTACAATCCTTTGTTGGGGCATAATGATATGATGTCCATTGTCAGTTGAGCTCCTCATGCGTCTTTGTTTTGTATAATGCATTGTTTAGTTGAGTAATTTGATCATTCAACTGTAAAGTTCGGCTAAGATTGATGCTGCACTTTTTCAAAAAAAATTCATTTTCTTATCAGAGCACATTGAACCCGTTGTTGAGATTTTCTTTCTGAATGACATTTCATTTTGATTTCTACCAGAAGGTAGTTTTGATTGTGTACTTTCTTCTCAGGTTAATGAGTGATTTCACTGTGGAGACGATAAATGATGCAGTCAATGAATTCAATGTGGTGTTTCATGGTCCAAAAGAAAGTATGTTAATATACATCTGTCTCTTAATTCATTGTCTTCATTTCTTCCTTCGGGGAATTGGCCTGTTTATTTTTTTTGCTCTGTCAAACACAATGATGAAGCATATGTTATCCCATGTTCTAAAGGCAAGTGAGAGGCAGATAATATTATTCCCAAGCTTGGGTGATCTGACTATTTATGGCTAACACATGTGATTGTGGCTGCAGGTCCTTATGATGGCGGGGTGTGGAAAATCCATGTTAAGTTTCCAGATTCTTATCCTTTCAAGCCTCCTTCAATTAGATTCTTGAACAAAATCTTTCATCCAAATATTGATGAGCAGTGAGTGTATCAGTGTCCACTGTTAATCTAGATTCTAGAGCATATATATAGTCACTCTAATCAAGAACTTTACTGACCAGACAATATACATTTTCTGAACTTCAGCTCTGGCTCTGTTTGCTTGAATGTAATCAACCAATCATGGAGTCCTATGTTTGGTAATTTTCTTTTATTGATGGTCTTTGGATCTTGTGTCAAATTAATTGTTTTTTAATTTACCCTGCTATCTCCATCTCCATCAAGCTGCATATCTCTTAGCTGAAAAAATCTGTACTTTTTAAGGGATTCTTAATCTAACATTGTTTTTTTCTATCATAAGTTGATTGATTGGTGCTGTTTCTTCTGTAGATCTTGTAAATGTGTTTGAAATGTTTCTCCCCCAGCTTCTGCTCTACCCAAATCCTTCACATCCCCTTAATTCTGATGCTGGTTACCTAATGATGAGGGACAAAAAAAGATATGAACAGAAAGTTAAAGGTATGATTTTGTACATTCTAGATTTTGGTATTTTACTCTTTGTTCTGTGTATATCTAGAGAGCTGTACTATCTCAACAACAGCATGACCTGTTGGAAGATTCATACACTTTGTAGTTCTGTTGATCTATGCACCCCCCCCCCCCAAATTCCTTCAGTGCCGGTTCTATTTGGATTCTCTGAACCTACTAAAGCTTTGTGCCTTTTGTGTGTGCACCACACAATTAGTTTAAAAAAAGGAAGTGGGAGAGAGAACTGGGAAAGAGAATACTATTGTACATGCTTTGGCTTCTATAGCATGCTTTAGATGTGATTATGTCAACAGTACAGTCAGAGTTATTTAGACTAAAGTATATTTGCAAAAAGTCATGCTTCTGGACGAGATTTTGCAGTATGAGTGATTTTAGCAAGACCAGGTTCAACCTTATCAAAGCATCACCAAGGTAGGCCATGGTAAGTATGAAGCATCTCCAGTTCTGAATTGTATGGCTAGCGTTTTATGAATTACTGACTGATAAACAATACTAGTTGAAAGGAAGGTTGGAAGTTTCATGTCCTGCAACGCCTTGTTGTATGAGTCTATCTACGTGCCAATTGGTACATGCTCACATTTAAAAGATAAATAAATAAATAAAAACTGTGTCACTTTTGTCTACGTAAGCATGTGCAAATTTTTTCTGTAATCCATGGCAGAAGCTTTGTGCAGCTATTTTTCAGTAATCCCAAATAAGCTAACATAGTCTCTGTGACATTAATTGTGCTTACATGCTTGCAAACTTGCAATATATTTTGGTAATCATGACTTTTTATCATTTGTACAGAATACTGTGAACAATATGCCAAGAAGGAGAATATTTTGGGCTCTTCTGTCGAAGATGGAAGTGGTAGTGAGGAAGTCAGTGAGGATGAAGATTCATCAAGTGACAATGAAGCAACAGGCACAGGTGAGGGGCATGCAGAACCATGAAAGGCGATGATACATTATACTGTCTTTTGCCTCACCTTACTTGGTTAGACTTAGTACCACAATGAAATAATTCTACTTTCCGTTTATGAAGCATTTACCTCTACGACTTGAGATCAGATTCATTCCTCTGTAAGTGATGTTGTCTCGTGCATTCTGCAGAAATCTCGAAAGCTATTGGCTGATTTCTGATTCCCATGACGAGGAGATGACAAATAAAATGTGTATAATGTTAAATACTTCTTTTTTTTTGGCAAACTTGTATGAGCTATCTTCATGCTCTCTTTTTTATGATCAATTGATTGCTTCTTGTACAACAATTGTTGAATATTCTATCCTTGGTTTTTTATATTTTGTGGAAAAAGCTCAACCTGATTAGACAATAGGCAGGAAGTGCTTTGTAAATATCAGACTCTATTTTATTTATTTTATTGATAAATTTCAGTTGTAATTGATTGTACATATCTATCTTCAGATCATCATTTCTGCTTGTCTTTGGCCTGTTGTTGCAATGCAAATTAGAGCCTTCCATAGAAATGGGGCTGTATCAATGATAATGTTTTCATACTCAGTTGATTTTAGGTGATAATAAAATTGAAGTTGAAGCTTGTAAAGATTGAAACCTTGACTGCATGGGCGGAGCTAGAAGGGGACATGTGGGGACACTTGTCCCCCCATTTTCAAAAAAAAAAATTTAAAAAAAAAAAAAAATTTAAAAAAAAAATGCAATTACAGTGCTCTGTTGCGACATTTGCCAGCCAAACCCTAAGTTTTTCAATTTTCAATTTCTCTCTCTTCGATTCGCCCTCGCCTGTCGCCTAGCCGGCTCGCCGTGACGCCGTCCACCGTTCGCCGGCAGTTCGCAGCAGTGACGAGGTTCAACAGCCGCCCTTGAGCCTTCGTCCTTCGTGACTTCGTGTCTTCGTGACTTCGTCATATGCATAAGCATAACACATTTGCTGTAAATCTGGATTTCAATGAGGGTATGAATCAATGAATGTATGATTAATTGAATAATTGATTACTTGTTTTGTTGTTTAAATGTTTAATTGTTTAAATTTACAGTAAATCTGAAAATCTGAATTTCATATTTTTATTACTTGTTTAAATGTTTAATTGTTTATATTTTTATTGTGAATTTGTCATTTGTGGCCTTGTGGGTATTGATTATTGAATAATTTGAATTGATAAATGATTATTGATTTATATTTATTTGATTGTTTCCCCTGTTAGAGTTTTTGGTTGTTTTTGTGAAATGTGAATTTAAATTATTAATTATTGTAAATTATTGAAATGTGTAGTTGAATTAGAAATTTAAAATCTTAGCCTCTTAGGTTTTGTTATTATGTAATGATGTGGATTGTGGTCTTGTGGAAATTGATATATAATTTTCGATTTAATTAGGAAATGTCAAACGATTCACCAAATTCAAACAAATCAAAGGCAACTAAACAACCCGATCTTCGACAATTCTTGTTTAAAAGAACGAAACTCAATGAAAATGAGTCCAATGAAAATGAGTCCAATAACTCACCTTCATTTAGCTCCCCTCAAAGTCAAGAAAATAGTATGGAAATGGGTGGTTCAAGTAATAGTAATGTACCATTAGAGGAAGATTCGGTGTACGATGTTGAACTTCTTCCTCATGATCCGGGAAAAAGAATAAACATTATTGCAACGACAATTCATTTGCTTATCAAGTTGATGTTGATTCTTCCCGTTGCCACGACAAGTGTTGAAAGAGTGTTTTCTGCAATGACATGTGTCAAAAACAAGTTGCGAAATAGCATGGGTGATCAACTTATGAATGATTGTTTGGTCACTTTTATTGAGAAGGATGTCTTCTTACGAGTTTCCGACGAAAAGATTATTGATCGATTTCAAAGTATGAAGACTCGAAGAATGAACTTGTAATTTTAATGTAATGTTTATGTAATTTTTTTCATCATTTTGAATTGTATGACTAAGTATATATTTGTATTTTGAAATTTTAATATTAAGTATTAACCAATTTGTGTGTGAGTTTTTTTTTTGTTTTTATTTTTTGTTAAGCTTTTCGTAAGTTAAGCATTTTGTCCCCCCAAGTTGAAAATCCTGGCTCCGCCACTGCCTTGACTTGAGTTTTGTTTCAACTTTCAAGTGTAAGAATTGAGTATTTGAGTTACATAACTCTAAGCTTGGAGGCATGAATAATGTTTCATAAAGTTTCATTTTTCATAATCAAGATAAGCATAATTATGCACCAAAGGTGTAATTGACACTAAGATGAAGTGAAACAAATACTTGTATATGATTCAAGTCTTTCACACTTGAAAGTGATGGAAATATATAATGAGTAAACACAATTGTAAGATTAACAATCAAACAAATACACCCTCCCTTTTAAAGGGATGATTCATAAGACATGTACCAAATGTATATTACGAATCCACTGCAAGAAACTTAAAAACCTGAAATTTTAAACGTTAATTTGTTTGATTCAAGAAGTAATATAAATCCAAATAAAATCAATCCAGCTTGAAAACAAATCTAATATATTTTGGTTCAAGTCAATTCGACTTAAACTCAATTCAAACGACCTGTTTGCCACCTCTTCTACTAACACTGAGACCAAATTAAAACGAGTTGATGGCTTGATGCCTAATACGTTATTGTTATTATAAATCGACCCATAATAAGAACAAATACATTTAAGATCTAGAGAAAGAAAATCCCATCAATTAACCTATACTAAAAGCGAACCTAAGATGACATTTGTCACGATGTCATTAATAATTTTCCCTCCTTTTTGCACTTTCCTTTTTTTTTTAACCAAATTTTAATGACTTCCATTTTTTGAGCTACAATAATACTTATTTTTATTTTGACAACATATCTAATCCAATCATACTCAATTAATTTTTTTTAACATATATTCTATATACTATTAATCTTTTAGTTACAAGTATACAAACATAGATTAAAAATAAGGTATTAAATATATCATTGTCCAAGATTATTATAATATTAAGGAGTATCAATTTATTCCTCCAAGCTCCAACATTAATCATTTGACACTAATCGTTATGCAATGTGATTATTAAAATTAAAATAAAAACCGCTACTACTAACTATAAATACATTTTAAAAAAGTTGATTATGGAATACTAATTATCCTAAAGTAATATAAATCAACTAAATTTTCATTTAATGCCGGTCAAAGTGTGTCAACAAAAATATAAGGACAAATGTATATTAGTTCGTATACGGATACTAACCTTTTATTTTTTTTCCCTTTTTTTTGAAGACATATACGGGTACTAACCTAAGCTTATATTTTCGTTTTCTTATATAAAACCTAATAGTTTCTAAATTTCTATTAATAAATTTTTTAAAAAAAAAAATCAAAACAATAACCTTTACGCATTTGGTATACATTAAAATTCAAGTTATTTTGTCACAAATATTTTTTTGGATAAATTGTTAAATTAACAACCATTCTTTATTCCCCTCAAAAATAAAAATAAAAAATAAAAAAATAAATAAAAACCATTCTTATAATTTTTGTTGTAAAGTTTAATTATAAGCGTGCATGGCACGGTTATAACCTATTACTCAATAAAGAGAAAAAACTTAGCAATGAGGAAATTGTACCACATTTTTATAAAGCCCAAATTATGCGTTGCTGAACCTACTTATCACCACGTGCACCTTCAGTATGTCGACATTAAGTTTATAAATCCAATCAACCCTCTTTTTATTTGTTTCCGCTTTTATTTCTTTCTTCTCTATTTTCTCTCTCTTTCCCCATTTTCTTTTCTTTATTAACATCAAATTTTGCACCTTTGATAATTTGAGCCCACATCATCCCTTTGACATTTTGGGGCGTTCATCAATTTCCAATCATCTTATTTGGTTCGTCTCTTATACCCTTTAATTTTGATGCAATTCCTGTTTATAGCGATTAATCTAACAATTTTGTTCATTTTATGAATTACGATCTTTATTTTGGGTGATTTAATTGTTGGGTTTTTTGTTTTACTGTTTGTTTTTTAATTGCTTGTAATTAGAATGAATTTTGAGTTTGATGATAATTGGGTATTTGATTAACCGCATTTTGCATCATTGATGTTGCTTTTTTTTTTTTTTTTTTTTTTTTTTTTGCCCTTTTGGGTGATTGACTTTGAACTGTGCTGGCTTTTACATGAGAAGACTGATAGCAGGAATAATAATTTTTTAATTATATAGTGCATTTGCAATAGATATGTGGTATGTCATTGTGGTTTTTTTTATATTTAGATGTATGTTGATTTGCTCATATGCTCTAGTATAGGTAAATTTGATGTAGCAAGCAGTTTTACAAAGTAGGGTATTTGAATATAGAACAATCTAATTTGGTAAGGGTACTGTTTGGGAGAGCTGTGATTGTTTTTGGAATGACTGAGCAAATGTGATTGTTGATTGATGTTTTCATCAACTTTACTCCAGGTAGTGTATAGATGAGCTCTGATCATTTTCGGAATGAAATAGGTTTTTAAATATAAATTGCTTTCGCGGAGGAGTATGAATTTCAATTAATATTGTCATCAACTCTATGATCAGCACTTGGTTTCAGCTTTAATTATATTCCTTCCATTGTGTAATGTGGAAGAACTTCCTAGGTTCCAATTCTTATATTGGTTTCATCTTGAAGTACTGCTAATGAGTAGCATTGTTTTGGAAGATTTTGGTTAAGACTGTTACATTCATGGTCATCATGCTAATGGAGTGAGTTTCTTGGATGAGAGATGAACCCTAAGTGATAAATTTAAGGTGCTACTATGCTATACCATTTAGCTTCAAAGGTTGAGAGGGGGGTATTTTGACTGCTGACGATTTGAAGATAATTAAAATTTGAGTTTCCATGGCGACCCTCAAGTGATACTGTCCAGTGTCCACCGTTGTTCTCCATGAAGTCTTTGTTGTTGTAGCAATATTATTGTTTTGAATGTTTTTGTTATATGGTGGTGGAAGTGTAGAAAAATTCATGTGTTTGAAGCATGAACTCTTAGGAATATTTTATCTGGACTAGAATGATGAATTGTTAGGACTTAGGAATGTTATAATCACTTTATACACAAGTTGTTATTGAAGTGATAGATATAATAGTAGTCATGTTTTCAGATTTTTATATTTGTATGCTAAACACTTCCTTTCCCATCCTTGTCCGATGGTATAGACTCTCTATGTTTGTTGGAACTGTATCATTTTCCATTTTTTGTGAGGGGCATGTCATCATTTAGATTTTTATGGTGCAAAGTATCTGGCGACCAATTGTTTAACTACTCTCAGGTGTGAACTAAATGCTCAGAACTTGTTTATTTCCCTAATTTTGTCCAATAAGGCTGGCATGCTAATTGAATAATCATGATAAAGCTGTTTATTTCCCTGAGTAGAAGTTGGTCAGGCATTTGCTGTGCTAAAAAATTTAAGAGAAATAACTGGCTCAAGAACTATTTTGGGCATGAACAATCTTTTAGTTGCTTATACTTTTGGTTTATTCTTCATACTAAATATTGCTGGCCTCTCTACTGCTGCTTAGGAATACAGGGTAAGGCTGTATACCTTTAGTTCATTGGAATATAGAGAGAATGAGAGATGGTTAAAGTTGGGTTCCGAGGATGATCCATCTGCTCATTATTTTTCTTTAGGGAGATGGATGTGGCATAGTGGCACATTGGAAGTTTCTTTGTCTAACACTCTAACAAATAAGAAATGCTATTTAATTGTGGCTTTTCGAGGCCAATACCTTTAATGTTGGAGATTTATTGAATTCTTTGTTTCCTATAGCATTCTGTCATGGTTTGCTATACTCTCTCTCTCTTTTTTTCACTGCCATTTTCTTATGAATATGCAGAACTTGAGCGATTTTACTTTTCCATTCGAGTTCGTGAACCATCTATTTAATAAGGAAACTGTCATCATCTTTTGCGGTAGTGGTAGGCAATTAGATTAATACCATGTTATAGAGATTTGTTTAGTGGGATCAATGAACAGTAAATGTGACAATAATTTATGTGGTGGCTGTGTATGTCTAGAAATTTTGGCAAGGGGAAAATGGTATTTGGTCATAGACCATGAATAGGTAATGATCAAACCACCCTAGGGTTAGACCAGCTGGTGTGACCTACTTTGCTTGTACATTTACCACCTTAAATTGTCTGTTTGCCACGCTGTTTTCTATGACATATTCCCTTTTGTATTTAAAAGAAGCGGTGAAATAACATCATACTCCAAATTACATTTTCTTTACAACTTTTACACATGTACAACTTCTCTACTTCTATAGCACTTCTATAGCCTTTCTGCTAGTTATTGTATATGCTGCCTTTTTGGCTCAGGGTTTTCTTTATCTTTCCTTGGCTGTTTTTATTAGGGATATCCATCCTTTAAACAATTTTGGGTAATCTAGCTAATAGTTTTCTATATATACAAATGAACAAGAAAAAAACTCTAGCTTGCTTTGTTGCTAATTCAGACAATGTTTTGTCATGTATACTGCTTAATGTTCTTTTTTTGCCATATTCTGCTCAGAGTCTCAATTTGGTTCAAGCTAAACTCAATTGGTTACAATGTCTTCACCAAGTAAGAGAAGAGAGATGGATGTTATGAAGCTGTAAGCTCCTCACTGTTCCACCTGTCATTGCTTCAAGTATCAACACATAAAATTGAATTAAGAGTTCATCTGACATAGTTCTGGAGCCCAAGTAGCATTGCCTCTTTTTTATTCATCAGCTCTTAGTATCTGCAGTATTTGTAGCCCAATCATATTGCTTCTCCTACTGGTTTTGCTATACATTACCATATAAAATCCATTATTTCTCTAAATCTATAATGAGGCGCCCTGCTGATGGTTTAGGGATGTTTAGCTGGCATCAGGCTTATTATGTAATCTAAAAGAGTCTTTAATTGTCATAATATCCTGGCCTCTAAAAGTGCTCTGACTAGTTTGCAGTACCATTGTTTAAGTTTTTGCCATGGACTCTTTATTCATTATGTTTTTCTCTTTTTTGTCTAATGCATCTTACAACTGTGTTCAGGATGATGAGTGATTATACAGTGGAGACGATAAATGATGGGCTTAATGAGTTCAATGTCATGTTCAATGGTCCAAAAGATAGTATGTTGAAGCTGCTTATCACCTTTTTATTTCTGTGCAGTTTATACTATCCTTCCTTCCCTTTGTCTCTATCATATTGTTTCTTCTTATATTCCCTTCGTCCATGGTCACGAGAAAATGTCAGGTTTGATGTGTGTGCAAGTTGTCTGATACCTTTATTTTAAGGTCTAGGTTAGCTGTTCATGATTTTTTTTTTTTTTAAATCTATGATTGCTGTGGTAACTATAGGTCTCTATGAAGGCGGGGTGTGGAAAGTCCATGTTGAGCTTCCAGATGGCTATCCTTATAAGTCCCCTTCCATTGGGTTCATAAACAAAATATTCCACCCAAATGTTGATGAACTGTGAGTTTACTCCTATTCCTAGAGCATGTGGAAAGGTATTCCCTGATTGCTACTGATTTGAGTGAATGCGTGTTAGTTATGTCTTAAATGAATTGTAAAATCTTCAGGTCTGGCTCAGTGTGCTTGGATGTTATCAATCAATCATGGAGTCCTATGTTTGGTAATTATCACTTTCCTAGTTACATTTACTTTAAGGCCCTGATTGCTTTCAGCTTTTGTTTTTGTTATTGTTTTTTATTCGACTTCAAAATATGAATGACTCTTGTTATTGGTTTGGTGCAGATTTGTTAAATGTGTTTGAAGTCTTTCTTCCACAACTGCTGCTGTACCCTAATGCTTCTGACCCTCTTAATGGTGATGCTGCTTCACTGATGATGAAAGATCGTGAACAGTATGAACTGAAGGTCAAAGGTAATAACTTTCCTACTCCACATTTTATCTTTAGGTTTTTAACTCATGAAAATTCACCTTTTAATCGTTATATCCAGACATCAGTTTTTTTCAACATTGTTGCCTGTTTGTGTGTGCTGATTCTCAGTAGAGTCTTAATGATTGGTGACTTGACTATAGTACAAAATAATATCATTCAGTTTTAGCTTGTTGTTTCAAATGAGAGTTATTGGAGACTTGGAGTAGAGAGAGAAAGGATTGGGTGGAAAGGATTGAGACATCTTATCAAGTGTCTCTCTCTCTCTCTCTCTCTCTCTCTCTCTCTCTCTCTCTCTCTCTCTCTCTCTCTCTCTCTCTCTCTCCAAAACAGGAAAACACACACCTAGCAATCTGGATTACTAAAAAACACTCTCAGGAAATCAATCTTGTCTCAATTCTTCTCTGCAAGATATTTTCTGGTCCTCTAGTAGAAAAGGTTAACATTTCTCCAAAATGGAAGTGGGGAACTGGGACTGTAATGCCAACAACAAGGATCTTGTATGGGAGAGTTACAAATAATGTTAGGAAATTGGATTTGCAGAGCATGTAGCACATGATAGAAGTAAATAGAGAAAGAGGATCTTTGCCACTGAAGGGTATATCTCAGTCTATGCAACCATCACATCCTGTTGGGATTAAGGTCGTGGTGTTGCATTGGTTTAGTCTAGGACCTGTTATGTTATACAAGTACAAATTATAGTTAAAGAATGTAAGATTCCCTTAGCTGTTCATATTCGTGTGATCAGGCCAGCTTCCTTGTGTCCAGATGAACTCCCAAATCTTTTATCCAGGGTAGATTCTAGATGCATATCAGTATATGGTCTCTTTCTTTGGTTGCAGAGAGGTTGTTTACATTATGACCTATGATCAGGAGCTGGAAAATACTAGTAATGTCTTTCATTTCTGTTCTGGATTGACATATGAATACCTTCAACATACTAAAATAAAATAAAAAATGAAAAAAAAAATTATATATATATATATATTGTGTTGGCATAAACTGCCCTAGTATATCAACAAAAAAAATGAGCCCTGGGCCCCAGGCATCTACCAGGAATTTGGATTATACAATGGTATTCTACCCTTAGCATGGAGGAGTACTGGTTGGTACTTAGCTTTTTTGCTCCATGGCTCTTTGATTTGTTTTGCGTTGCAGATGCTCAAGCTTTAGTATCAGTGCTCTGTTCTGAACTTTCATTTTTGGGAGTTGGAGAGTGAGAGTTGCTGAACATTTGTTTATTCTTGGCAATAGTATCTTTCACAAAATATTTTAAAGAAAACGAAGAGGAAAATAATAGTTGAAAATACCCCGGGGCCAATTTAGCCAAAGCATACCTTGAAGCTCTACTTGATAAATGACGTGTTTGTTCAAGCTATTGATGCTTTTAGTCTTTAACAGTGTGTGTTGAAATGTCTGGGTACATATGTCCTGACTTGTATCCTATCTTATGTGATGTGTGTCCCATCTCTTTCAGATTCATTGCCAACTTTTACAAATTGTTTAATTTTATTGGTGAATGTTGATGGAGGATGTTCATAGATAGTAGATCCCATATGGGACATTCTGCTTCGCCCTTATACTGGGGTTGTGCTGAAAATGCGATGGTTATGTTCTGTTTTTTTCTTATTACTCTTTGGATGTATACAGAATATTGTGATCGCTATGCAAAGAAAGAAAACATCGATGCATCTGCTGCTGAAGATGAAAGTGATGAGGAGGACATCAGTGATGGGCACTGCACATCAAGTGACGATGAAATTGCTGGACATGCAGACCCATAAACTAGAATTAATCATACAGGGACCAAGTTAATTTAGCTTTATCCCTCTTGTTCATTTGTTGGCTGTATCATGTTTTAGTTTAGAATTACAATGATAATTTATGTCCAAGTCATTTTTTAGCTTACTAATTTATTTGTTTCAGTATAGTAGGAAAGCAGTTTGATAAAAATTGGTGGACATGATCATTTGAATAGAAATTTAATGTGTGAATTTGATTTTCGTTATAGTAGATTGATTTATTTGAATTGTCTTCATTGCTTTTTTCCTCTTAATGAGATTAGGCAAAGGTCTGCTGCCTATAAACTAGTTTTGCGCCGAACAACCTAGAGACCGGATCTATTCTTTTGGTTCGGTCCAGAGTCACTCCGGACCTTTTAGGTCTATATTTTGTGGTCTGGTCCGGCTTTTGAACACCTAGATCATTTATAGTCTTCTGAAATTCGTTATACATAATACATGAGGGCCTTAGAGAACTGGAAAATAGACAATTTTGAGAATGATACCTGGGCCTTTTCGAAATTCTTGAGGAAAGGATAATATAGGGCCCTTGGAAAATAAGAAGTTCACTGCATTTGTAAAAGCCATCATTTGCATTTAGAAAACACAAGTTCTGAGTTGTTCCTTTCCTATAAAAACTGTCAACTTATTGTCATTTTGTCAATTATATACTTATTTAATGATCTCCTCACATAAAAAGAAAATAAAAAAAATAATAAAAAAAAAATTAAAAAAAAAAAAAAAAAAAAACCTTGTTCCACTCAATGACTTGCTATACGAACTGGAAATATCTCTTGATTCAACTAATAATCCATTGATCAATTTCTCCCTCTATTTAAATGTATTGTTCATTTTCCTTTTTCATTTGGCAATATTCCTTTATTTTTTTTAATCTTTACCTTTCGTTTCCCTCTAATACAAGCTAGAAACTCACTCACTCTCATTCAATACTTGTATAATTTATGAAATATAGAAATAAAAGAAAAACATCACATAGGCCTTTTATTAATTAAAGAAACATGTGTGATACTTTTATGTCATAAATGAGACATTAAATTGATAAGTGATCAACATAAGGAGAAATTGAACTCAGATAGTGAGATGATTTTGGTCATTAAATACCCCAAAACAGTAAGATGGCTTGTTTTGACAAAAGAGAAAGATTCACAATATGTCTTGAGAATTTGCACTATTCACATTCTTAAATTTGACCATCTTCGATGAATTTATGTTGGACAAAATATAGAATTTTAACTTATTTGAGCTTTTTATCCTTACTTCGTATCTATCTTTAAAGATATAATAGATTATAATTATTTGTTGATAAATATGTAAGTTGAAACTGATAGAGTATAAAACATATTCCTGGGCATCAACCATCAGCTTAAGCTTTTGGTTGAGTTGGTCCTTTAATATGGTATCAGAGCCAACGTGACATAGAGGTCACGGGTTCGAATCTCATCCACCCCTTCTTTAAAGTGGAATTAATTCGCGCCTAGTAGGAGAGGATCTATGTTGCATCCACATTTTAAGTAAATAGATGAAGTAATCATCAAAGCAACAAATTTACAAGTGATTTAATGAAAATGTTCTCATTGCAGATGATCATGCCTTTGAGTACGCCAAAGGAAGTTGTTCAACCAGAGCTTTAATCTTGTTTGGTTTCTTTCACTAAATGCTTGGTACACTTATGTCACAACCTTAAAGCTTAGCTTACTAATCTAACTATCTAAAATACTACGTATATAGTTTTACTTTATTACACGTGTTAATTTAAGAGTTAATGAGACAATAACAGACTAACAATAATACTCAATATCTTCTATATATAGTACCTAAACGAAAGTATACCACTGCATTGGCCTGGTAATAAAATAAAATTAAAATGAAGTACAAGTATAACGGTATGTTTACGGAGTTTAATTTGGCATATACAATTGGAGGTCATTATCATCTAATCAATTCCTTAAGCAGCATGCAACATGCCTAGCAAGCCGATTGCCGACACATTTTAAGAGTCTTTTGGATTTGGAAGCTTTGGTTATAACAAGTGGTTGAATAAAACTATCACAATCGTAAAGTACTCGAATCAATATAAATATTGAATTGGGTACTTTCAATCTTGAGAGAAAATTATCCTAATTTATAATAATTTCGTATTTTTTTAAAAAAAAATGTTAATTGAATGTCTTGTAAAAAATAAAATTCAACTATCAAGTACATATCTTAAAAGTGAACTCACTGAACCTAGTACCACCAAAAATGAAATTTGAACTAGGCACGATCTAAATGTGACTCAAACCCAATATGATCAACGACTTGATCTGATATAACTAAGATTGAACTTGACGCAACTCGAACCAACCCCGACCAAACTCATTTAGATGTCCCGATCCAGATCCAGGTCCAACTCTAAACGTTTACACATTAACAAGGTTTGGCGACCGTCAGAAAGGCATAAGGCCATGCCTCAATCATCAACAATTCAACTAGAAGATTTGAGTTGATGTCCTTAATTGATGGATACATTCACGTGATAACATCCCAAATTCCCAATGCAACAATTTGGTACTTTTTAAATTTAATGGCCAAAGTTAAACGAAACAAGTGTTTGTTTGTAGCTTTTTACCATCTCCTTGTAGATTACTGTTTACGTACACGGTGCACCCTTTCACGAGATAATAAATAACGACTACTTTCCCATTTTATTACGTTGCTTGCTTGAAATTAAGACATTCATTTAATGTCATTCACATAGTATATGCTTTGCTATACGGCACTGTGGTACATTGGCCTGGTATCATGATCTACTACATTACACTACACGAATGTAATACTTGTCTATTATAGCCCCACTACTACTATTTTACATCACCATGTCATTTTACATCAATTCATACAAGAAAAAAGGACATTCAGCTTCTTGTTTTGAGGCGTCCATATATTTAAGGTCAAGCGGGCTCTATAGTGTAGTCCCAATTGCACCCCCTTGCCCCTTAACTGCATCATCAAGCAATCCATAACGTTTTTACCCTCAATCCACTCTTTAGTTGTTGTATTAGTTTGGCTAAGAGAGTTAAATATTCGCTTTGTAGTTTTAAGTTAGTAGGGACTAGGGAGCTAGACTCCTTTTTGGACCGTAAAAAAAATAAAATAAATAAATAAATAAAAAAAAAAAAAACTCCCCTAGCCCTTTAATGAGTCTTGTAAAGTGAATTATATATACAGCAAGTTTAAGTAAGAAAAGTGTTTGAACATGTACAAATGTTTAATAGTTGGCTTTTTGAGAATCAAGGTTGGCCTAGTGGTTGGAGGCCCTCCTTTCAGGCTTTCACCCCTGTGAGAAGGGTTCAATTCTCACCCCAAGCAAGTTGGATCCCTTATTTCCCCTCAACTTGCAAGAGAATTCTCCTTTAAAAAAAAGTATAAATGTTTAATTATATTATCACTCAAATTATATTAGATTAGTCATCGATATAGAAATGATAAAATCAACACATATGGGGATAGAGTTAATCGGTCAAACATCTATTGCACCATTAGTCCATAATTATGTAGTGTTCATCCTTTGTTTTTTTCGTAATATGAAACGAGTTATATTATATTGTATTATTTTATCTATCTCTCTATCTATCTATTCATAGAATGATACATAGCATAGTAAAGACACTTCTCTCTATAACATAAAATATAATTAAAGAAAACATTTGAATATATGAATAATGTAATAGTTAAATTGTTGCTAATTTTTAGAAATGAGATCAAGAGTAATAAAAACTAACATAAATATAGTAAAACCCTAATTAGGTTGGACTACCAACAAACATCACATGATTTCTCAACCACTATCAAACAATGATGGTTATAATAATCTTCCACTTAAGTGTAGAAATCCATGAGAACAAGGGAAATTTTGATAATTGTTCTAGACCCACAATCAACAAGTCTTCTCCAAAGAATTGCTTTATTAATTTTTGTAGTTATAAATGCAATCATAACTTATTTTCATGTTTAAAATGATTGTATTTAACCATTTTACTCCTCATTTAGCCACTTTATTATTTGGCTATTGTGCATGCATTGTTTGATTTTTCTTGTTATTTTTTTCTAATAAAGGCATGCTAACTTTGCTAAGTGGAGACATGAGGGACATAAATAATAATTTGGTCAATTACGGAGCAATGATTAACTCGATAACCGACGAGTGTTATTCTCTTAAGAAGAAATAGTACGGTGATTCAATTTTAGTCAACGTCAAGTGATGCGTGCTTAGGGGCTCGAGATGACTACTATAAATGTGATTAGCTAGTAATAAAGCTCAAAATTAAAGCATGTAGTTCACCTCAAGGCTTTATATTATCAATTCGAATTCAAGACAAGTTTTAACCACGTTAAGTTTAATCTAGTGATATAATTATTATACTTTAGCTTTCTTATCTTTAGCTTTTAGCCAGCTAATATAATTCGAGTAGACTCGTGCAAGGTTTCGGACTAATAGAATTGTTTTTCTTACTAACAAAAAAGAAATAAAATCCATGACATTGTTTCGAGCTTTTTTGGACGTACTTTGAGTATTATATTACAAGTCTTGACATAGGGACTGATCTGATCTGATCTGCTTCTTGTTGTTTTAGATTAAGTGAATGTGACAATATGTTATTTGCTTATTGACACTTTGAGGGTTTTCATAAATTCATGATTTGTTATATAATGCCTCAAGTAACTTATATCTAATAAGCATATATATATTGTTGCAACTAATTCTCCACCTTGTGTAATGCACAAGGTTTTTTCAACATAAGATACAACCTATCTTATTTTGCAATAACTTAATATGACTATGCTTAGAAACGTTAATAAGTTGGACATTCAAGTGTGGAGGTCTAGAGGATACGTATCATAAAGAGTTCAAATCCATGGAGAGGATATAAAGGTGATGAGGGGTACAAGTACGACAATGCTAACGATTATTAGAACTCACATGTAATGATGTAAATTAGGACGTAAAATCAATTAAAAACAAAAAGAGAAAGGAATGTATTCAATATCAAAGTACAAGCTATGTAGAGTTGTGAGTTACTCAACCTTTTATCAAATGGTTTTATGATAAATCTCTATCAAGCTTGTATGAGATCAAACTATCGTCATACATAAGGAGGAATTTGAAGATAAATTAAAAATGTGTCCATGTGACTATGTGAGCATGTGTGTGTTTATGTGTGGAAGA